AAGAAGAGATTCAATATTATGTCATGGCTCAGTAACTCGTGGATAATAATATTCCTGTTTAGACTAGGTAGAAGCCTCTCAACAATAATATTAAATCTGGAGAGGAAAAGAAGAGAATATAATGTAATCTATCACTGAGCTGGCCAGCTGGCCACATCCGCGACCACCTACTATTCATATTTGCAATTTATTCACAACCACAACCATGGCTGATAATTCAAAAAAGAAGATCGCATGAAACTAGCTCTAGAAGCCTTTAAAAAAGGTCTTTTTTCATCAAAAAATGCAGCAGCAAAGGCATATGATGTGCCTCTCTACCTTAAGACCCAGGTCAAAGGAACCACATGCCGCAAGGAATCAGTTGCCAACCACCGAAAATTGACACCTACTGAAGAAAAGACACTCTCATCATGGATTATTGATATGGGACAGCATGGCCTGCCTCTACAAATCTCTACTGTATGCTCTTTGGCACAGTTGTTACTGTCTTGCATGGCTATCCTCCCAGACTGCCTATGTGGGCGAGTGTTGGGTGACCTGGTATATTTGATGCTATGATGAACTCTCCTCTGAATACAGCTGAAAATATGACTACCAGCATGCCAAATGTGAAGATCCAGAGCTTATTATGGGGTGGTATAAGTGCTTCCATGATGCTATTGAAACATATGGAATTCTGAGCAAGATATCTACAATATGGATGAAACTGGATTTCAGATGGGCATGACATCCACAGCCAAAGTTATATGTGGCTCAGAGACTTGGGCAAGCAATGCCAAAGCCTTGCAGCCTGGGAATCATGAATGGGTAACTGCTATTATTGTAGTAAATACAACTGGATGGGCTTTGCCTCCCCAGATTATTCTGGCTGCAGACAACCACCAATCTCAATGGTATCATGCTATCCCAAATGATTTTATAATCAGTGTCAGCAAGAATGGCTGGACAAATGATGGATTAGGCCTGGAGTGGCTTCAAACTGTCTTTGAGCCACATACAGCCTCCCGTACACTAGGAAGATATCACATGCTGATTTTGGATGGCCATAGCAGCCATGCCACTGCAGAATTCAACAGATTCTGTACAGAAAGGAATATTGTTCCTTTATATATGCCTCCACATTCATCTCATCTGAGTCATCTCCTTCAACCATTGGATGTTGGTTGCTTTTCGCCATTGAAGTGCTTATATGGTCAAAGAATCACCAATAAGGTGCAGAAGGGAATCAACACTGTTGAAAACAGAATTCCTCTATATATACCTTACTGTCCATTACCAGATTCTATCATCATCAAATATTCAAAGCAGCTTTGCAGCAACTGGCCTGGTTCCATTCTTACCTGACCAAGTCCTATTGAAGCTTCATATACCATTTAAAACACCAACACCACCTTCATCATCACATAGCAACCAATCCTTTGGTGCAGGCAAGACTCCAGCAGATATAAACCAGCTTGGGGCCCAAAAGAAGCGACTATATCACCTCCAAAATCATCAGATATCCCCATCAACTATGGAAGAGGCAATGGGAAAGGTCATTAGAGGGGCAGTGATGACCATGCAAAATGCCATCCTACTGCAGCATGAAGTCCACCAGTTTTGCATGGAAAATAAGTATCAAAAGCAGAGAGGAGCGCTCCTAGGGCCTTTATACAGGCTGGAGGGAGCCTGACAGTGCTCAAGGATTGCAAAAAGCGCAAGAACAGGAGGCTATAGGCATATATATGGCAGCCATAAGCCTAGATAGTTGATAATCAATCAATGAAGCAACTGGGAGCCATATGTTTAGATAGTGAATTTAATATAAATATCATAAATTTCTAGATTTCATAAGCTTAAAAGAAGTCTATAACGTAATCCACAGCCGAGCTGACCATACAACCGAGCTGACCATTTTCTCCGCAACCACAAGGATATTAAAGCTTTTCAACCACCAACGCCATTAAATTAGACTATATAAAAAATAAAATGAATAGTTATTTACTAGGACAACCTCTTATCGTATGTCCTACAGTCCCACAGCCACTACAGCGTTGTGGAGCTCACTTGCAAGGCCAAAATATAGGCTCTTCAACCTGGGCTTCATCCTGTGTATCAAGCTGCTGAATGCGCTCACGACCTTCCTGTACAGATATAAAGAGATTATCTCCTATAGAAGCACGTTTCCTTGCCTTCTTCTTTGTTTTCTGCTCATTTTCAGTCTGTAAAACCTTGATTTCTTGTTGGAGAAGAAGGTTTGTATTCATTGCCATCTGTGCAGCCTTTTCAAGGTGTTGAATATGGGATACTGGACTACTAGAAAGTGTCCTTTTCCTTTGAAGGCTTTTCTGCAGATTGTGGATCTTGTGATCAAGCTGGCGGGGATTCTGAGGTGTCTGAAATGCAGATGATATTGATCCTTCAGCAAGAGGTGGTGGTGTTGGCATATGAAGTTGAAAGGTGATTTTCTCAAGAACCCAGTCTTTATTGAGTGGTTTAAGACCAGATCCTGCAAACCCATTACATATATTCTTTTCAGTAAAAACCGCTTTGCGTGCAGAAGGGTATATATGGAGAAAATCCTCCTTATCAATATGGTTGTTTCCAGCCACCATCATGCCCTCAACTAATTTGCCATATGCACATTTAAGCGGTCCAAAAACACCAACATCCAGAGGTTGAAGGAGATGAGATGAATGTGGAGGCATGCAAAGGCAGATAATTGCATTCTTTTTGCAGAAATTGTCAAATTCAATGGTTTGATGACTTGAATGGCCATCAAGAATAAGTAATCGCTTTGCGCCAGTTGAATGTAGCTTGGAAAATGGGTCAAATAGACACTCCAACCATGCAAGGCCTATCTTATCTGTTGTCCAGCCATTGGCACTGTTGGTAAGCTTCCAATCTGGATGAAGATTAGACTCTTGATACCATGCAGCCTGGTGTTCTTTCTCTTTTAAGATAACTGCTGGAGGTATATGAATCCCTTTTGTGCTCACACATTCAATGATTGTGACCCATTCCATGCAGAAACTCAGGTCTAATTGAAAACCCTTGTTTATCTGCATCTAGCAGATGCTTAGCTAGGACTTCTTCTTCAAGAATTGTTAATTTATGGCCATTAGCGCGTGTTTCTGGCTGTGGTTGAATTCCTCTAAGCCGGTTGAGCAAGGTAGCTTTAGGCACACCAAATACTGCAGCAGCGCGCGATTTTGATCGGATTTTTTTTCTTTTTATAAGCTTCAATGGCCATTTGCATTTGGGCTTCCTGAGAAAGAGACATTTTATATGGTGATGGTGAAAATATGACGCGTTGAATAATGATTGTTGGAAGTTGCGGAGAAAATGGTCAGCTCGGTTGTATGGTCAGCTCGGCTGTGGATTACGTTACAATAATCATTAAGAACTAGCCTGAAGCCTGAACTAAAGTGTATGTATAATATTATGTCTATAGATTTTATCAAATTCTACTAATGCTTCATTAAGAATTACAGTAAAATAACCTCTTATCTCACTAATTTGTTAAAGATATTATTAAAAGGCTTCTAGTTTTTTTTTATACCTTCAAAAAAAGCTTATACAACCAGTCCTTTGAGAATTTTAATAATATTTTCTATTACTATATTTTAACATATTTTAATAATTCAAAAAAGGTGTCATGAGGAATTAATAAGGATTAAAATAATATTAATTAAAAAGAGGAGAGAAGGCTATGATAAACAGCATCTTATATTCTTATAATATTGAGTATCTATTATTTAATACACTATAAGAATAATATCCTCTAAAATAATCTTGCATTTAATGCTAATAATGAATAACAGAAGCTTGAATAAAAAATTAGTAAAAAGGTTGCATTTAATTATACTAAAAGATATATAAGTTCTAATTAAAAACTCCATGGACTTCTCTATAGCATATTAGTAAAGATAAATAGATAGTAATAAATATATATGTAAAGCCTAGGATTGAGATGATAGTATATAAGGTAGTACTAGCCTCTGGTAGCTGATGGCTACCATATTGTTGCTTTTTTTGCCTTTTGACCGAGGTGTCTATTAGTGAGTGCTAGCCTAGTATGGATTATATTAGTGACTGTATCGGAATGTCAGTTACATAAAAAAAACACTAATATTAAGTGGCTGCAGGAAGTGGCTGGTTTTTAAGGATAAGACTAAAGAGGATAATCTTATTCTTACAGAAATCAATAAATTCAAACATTAAATAGAACTAAGAAGCTAAAGCCATGGATTATGCTATGCTGGTCTTGGTATGCTGGGGGTGTGATTTGAATTTTTTTGTCAACTATTATTGGCTATTGCCCGGGTTGACTATGTCGTAGGTACTATTTGGACTTTGGAATGAAGAGCCCATAATCTAACTACATACAAAAGAAGTGTCATACTCATGGGATAAAGATAAAAAAGGCTTTCACATTTTCTTTCTCCATTTCCCTCTCTTCTGACAAATCTTCGCCTGCGACCAATTCAACCGAATTGGTCACAAAGTCTTCATGTCAACATATATGCTTTGCAGATCCTCTGCAGAGTACTTTGTACGGAGTAGCATGAGTCATTCCTCTCTGTGATATGATATATTTTATCACGAAAGCTCCATCCGGATTTCATTTGATGATTGGGTGGTGTCTTTACAGTTGCAGCACCTGCTACTGCCTACCATCCATCCATTCACAAGCTGGTGACCCGGTTACTTATACAACCCCCATATTGAATATTGGATGACTATTCTAGGGTATCTAGCCCTCTTCTCCTGGGAAATCCAAGGCTGGGGGTGGGGGAACACAGAGCTAGAGAAATGCGTATACTTCAATATTCATGACATAGTCAGGACTCAGGAGATCCCGGGGGGGGGTATAGTTAGGTTAATAAAGATACGTAAGCAGTGGCATAAACTATACGGAGTACAAAAAATAAGAGACTATATTTTACCATTGAATGGGTAATTTTTGTCTTGTCATGTATATTTGTGCTGAGTGTAGTAGTGTATTGCCCAGGGGTAATATCTGTGACAGCATGGCCTTTTCACTTGCCTGTCCACTTGCAGTTATATCTCCCACCTTCACATTAGCACCCACCCCAGCACCAATAAGCCCATAGGATTATCTGTACCCTGTACACCACTGTGAGAGAAGTCAACCACATTTAATAATAATAAACATGGTAAGTCTTCTCCGTGCACCATGTACCTGGCAGCTGACGTGCTTCGCAGTCACAGACACCGAAGCAGCGAAAAGCAAATGAGAAGTACGCAAAGAACGAGGCTGCAAAACGAGGGAAGGGCCAGGTACCAGTCAAGCAAAAACAAAGTGCAAAGTCTTCTTTGCCCACTGGCTGGCTAGGTATGTGATGATAGCAACGGCAGCAGACAATGCAATAGCGCCTGGCTAAGAATCCAACAGCTGTTCTCGTCTTCGTTATATGTGGTGGGCTTGCATTCGAACTTTTAGGTGTCATTCCAAAGCTATGGTCGGCAACGTTTGGTCGGTTCATGGACTAGTGTTTCGTCGGTTAACAACATCTATGCGGGAATGGCATATCGCCATATGAAATGTTGGGATTGTTTATCGGTATCCAGCATGCATCCTGCTGAGTGGTTCTCATACTGCCATGTATCTTCAGCTGTATTTGCGTTTAATACTCCTTGGGAAAGCAACCGCCAGCGTGCCATTTAACATCATCTCTAATAGAGAAGTCTTTATATTTACTGACTATCCAATGTCAAACCATTATCAATCACCTGATTTCTTTTTTTTTCTTCCGAACGGAAGGACCAGCTCCATGTCGAGTTTTCCGGTCTGTCTTCTTCTTGACAAGAGTTCCCTCGGCAGGTACGTCCTTGGGATGAATTCGCTCCGATGCTCTTTGCATCTCTAACCGTACTTTCTCCACTTTCTGCATTGCTTTGGCCATTTCTACTTCGTCCTCATCTTGCTGGGTGCGGCGCTGCGTGAAATTCGAGCTCGGAGTATGTTCCTCCAAGGAAAAATGCCCGAGGCCGCTGGTGTCTACCTGAAGTAGGGATCGCCCCACCTTCCCTGGTTCGTCGGAGTCTTGGATGCTCATAGATTCATCGTGCCCAAAATTCTCATCAGCAATGACGTCGTATTTCCTAGGACGTGGATTGGAGCGTTTATGTTCTTCGTAATCCCTTGACAATGCCAGACCATGTATCGCCTCGTTGTTTATTTTTAGGTCAATGATAGGAATTGAATCGACATCCATCCCATCGCTATTGGAAGCATTGAAAACCCTATGGAAAGGGGTAGATGTGCCAGACGAGTTTTCTTCGGTGTCGATGTAAAAAGGGTCATCCCTGTTGCGATCCCGGCGTTCAGTTCTTCGTTTCGGTTTGCCAGCGGCAACGATAGACTTTCCAGTGACCTTTGAATGTGATATGTTCGACAGCATGTCACCATGCGCAAGCGCGGTGAAACGTCGATCCAGGGCCGATATATCTATGGTGTAGTAAAAATCCCGCGAGAGATCCTGGGCCTCCAAATTAAAAGAGACATCACTGGAATCATCAAAGAGACCCAAAAGTCGTTCGTTGAAGGGTTGATCCAAGACAAGCTTTTCAGGCAGCGGAACCTTTTTCTGCGCACCGACAGCGACCGGGTTGAGCTCTAGGCCAGAGAACAAGCTTGGAATCACGGCCGATAATATATAGGGCGGTTCATGCGATGGATGAACCTCTGAATTGACGGCTTCCGCTGCCAAGCGCAGAACCTCGAGAAATTCAATAGCCCTCTCCTGTACATCCAAATCTGGATGGGAAGCTAAGGTCTCAAGAAAGTCTATTATCCGCGCTAACAACAGCGAAGTCTCGCTTTTTTGGGAATCGTCCCATGAATCACCGTTGGAAGTAAGGTGAACAAGGACTTTCGGAATAGCCTGCAAGTAGACAGACAGTGTTCTCGCTGGTAACAAAGCATTGGTGGTATCGATTAAAGATTGCAGAGTTTGCCCAGGGCACAAGAGGTGTTCTGCGTATTCACCGACAACCCAAACCAGGGAGCTCAAAATGCTGTCACTGGCCGTAGTCCTTCGAAAGGATGCTGACTTATCATTGTGGACAAGAACAAAAGATTCAGCCGCCCTAGTTGCTTCCATTCGAACATTGCGTACACGAACTGCAATGTTACGCAGTTCAGAACCAAGACGGCATGCAATCTCACATACTGGGTTTGTCGTATACCGGTAGTACCCACTTATGTCTTCAGGGGGAACGTGCTTCACCAACTGTACCAAAATATCAATATACCACTCGAAATCCGGCAACCCTGAATAACTATTGTAACAGCATATGTCCACGATTCGATGAAGGACTTCTATCTTATATTCGGGGGGTAGATAGTGTGAATAACTTCCAACGGTTTGTTGTTCTGATATTCCGTTTTTGTCCCGCATAGCCAATTGGTCTTCTCCTAGGGATTGCTCGGATAGCGGCACGAAAGCATCGTTGAGCTGCTTAACCAAGCGGCTGACGATAGGTTGGAGTGTCTCACTGCTTACCATCCCGGTTGCAAGTTCGAGTGCTTGGAGCCGAATCGAGACATCTGCATCACCCAAACATTCCAGTATAACATCCTGCTGCATCGACACCAACACAGGGTGCGATGCTACAATCCGGTTGAATGCAAGAAGAGCGACGTACTTGACTGTAAACCAGGGTCAGTCTCGATCGAAGACGATATGATATGTGAATACTTGCGGTTTGGGTCAGCATCCGTAACTATCATGCCCCGTAGCTTCCCAACGCAGAGGCTTGCTATCTCATCCTTTTCCCGAAAACCCTCATCGCCGTCAAGAATTCCCCCTTGAATTATACCATTGATACACTCGTAGAGCAATGACATGGCTGTGGTTGTCTGAATCAAATTCGTCAACGGACGGAGGAGCTTCCGAACTAGGCGTGGTTCCAATGGAGTCAAAGTTGCAAACTGTGAGGATCAGAAACTAAGCATCTGATATCGGGGAAGGAAACGCACGAGCTTTATTATTTTTATTGCCATCCAATTATTACCACCCTCCACTAACAAATCAAATAATCTTGGTGCAAGTGGAAGGAAGTCATGCGGCCTTCTCCATCCGAGTTCACAGACGACATTGATCACTGCTGTAGTGACACTGCCATCCTCTTGATCATCCATAAGTCGCTCCTTTATCTTAGGCCAAGCCAGCTTTAGAGCCTCGGGATAAACCAGAGCAAGCCTATACAGGCAAACAACTGCCTTTTTGCGAACCATAACGTGCGAGTGGGAGAATCTGGACAGAATATCTGGAAGTAAGGACATGGAGAGTGAGGGCGTTATGACATGCGGAAGAGTGACCATTGGAAGAGACAGGTTTGGGATATTTGAAGAGCCCATGTCCTGTTGAGTTGTCAGTCAACAATATAGATACATACAATCTATACAAAAGATCGACGGATACCTTTTTTAAGAGATTGGTTGCAAGCATCAATACCTCAGTGTCTGACCTGAAACTCTGCATTGCTCCAAGATAGCCGACTCTTTTCTGCAGGTACTTCGTAGACGACATTACCTCTAATACGTGAAAGGAGGCCCAAGACATGTCGTAGCCAAACATCTCTAGGTATATGATTTTCAACAGTGCAGTGGCTTTTCTGTCTGTGTATATTTAGTATACTGTCAAACATTTGAGAGCCTTATATCAATCACATACCCATATCTTGTGATTTGATTTCTGCTTTGCATTCTCGAAGACTGTTCTGGATATAATCTTCCTCGGCACCTTTATGGCTCCGTAGACCTTTTATAAGGTCATATAAAGACTTCTCGAACCTATATTTTGTGAGCATTATTGCCTGTATTCGAGAGGCCAAAAAGATACACTGACATTGCTTGAAGAGTAAGCGTCTCGATCTGAGAAGTTATATCTAGGATAATTGGCCTATAGAATGACCATTGCCGACAGAGAACGAGATTGGTCCTGATCGTTCCCTCACTGATCCGAGATTGTTCGATGCTAAGATAACCGATAACTGCAGAATCCCCGTCGAAATAAAGAATAGGAGGAAATAAAAGAGAAGGGAGGAATTGAAAGAATGCAATTTAATAATTTTATGAATAGATATTGAAGGTGATATTCATGATCTACCTATGGAAGTAGTGCGGAGTACGTCACGGGACACCGAACTCTACGGAGTACATCTATCCTCTCTTTACGAGTCGTTATCTGCAACGTGCCAGTTATTATATTTAAGGTACATGCTCATACTGACTTTCAGAACCTAGAGCGTTTGTTAGTCACCATGTCTAATACCAAGAACGAACCCATTCATAGCTCAGATCTGCTTGCTACCCTTCAGTATTCACAGCAAGCACCAATCCTCCTTGGCCGACAAAGCAATTCGAAGATGGCACCATTATCACTCATTACATCTGTCCCAGCACAACCTGAAGAATATGCAATGATAGAGCGGCTTTTCTTTACTTGTTTACAGACAGGAGATGACAAGTCAGCTCTCATATGCCTTGATAAGCTAACTCAGTTCTTTGGGTCATCAAATGAGAGGATAATGGGGCTACATGGTCTTTATGAAGAGGCGATTGCTGGAGATAATTTTTCTTTGGAGAAGTGCCTTCAGGAATATGACGATATACTGCAACAGAACCCAGTCAATTTGGTTTGCCTACCTCCCCCACAGTTCTGATCATTTCATTTTAATAATGGTTTTTGTCTTCTTCGACGAAGAGGATAAATTGAAAGAGGCGATCCTAAGCTTGGGGGCTAACTTTTGACTGATAGCCCATCTTGAAACGTCGGATTGCTCTTTTGCGATCACTGTCTCGGCCTGCGGACGCCATAAGTAGTCTGATAAAACTCCTGGAGGCCACTCCCACAGATACGGAAGCTTGGTGCGAGCTTGCAGACCTATATCGATTGCAAGGGATGAGTTCTCAGGCAATTTTCTGTCTTGAGGAGGCCCTTTTAATCACCCCAAATGCTTGGAATGTATGCAATACCAGTTTAATCCTCCTCGACCTTGTATTAATGCTGTTGTCCGCTTAGGTTCATGCTTGCTTGGCTGAGCTGTTATATGTCTGTGCTTCTTCACAAGAAAATGGTGATCCATCCAAGCTTCTGAGAAGATCAATGCGTCACTATTGTAGGAGCATTGAACTCTGCGATGACTACCTCCGAGGATTCTATGGGTTAGCTTTGGTATGTCCTGCCCCATTCCCCGCCCCCTTCCCCCCCCCCCCCCTTCTCTTCTCTTCTCGTCTTTTTGACTAATTTACCTCCGTAATAGGTTACGACATTGCTACTTGAAACTGAGGAAAGTTGTACTACGGAAGAAGTTTCTCTGAAGGAAACACTTCCAAGACTAAATACATTTGCTTTTGAAAAACTCGAAGCAATCGTTAAATCGCGATTTATGGATTATCAGGGCCAGAAGTGCAGTCAAAGTGAGCTGATTGCAGCAAAGGAGCTCCTCGACCGATTTGGCAAGTCTAATTGATGTATATTTCACCCCCTTCTCTTCTCATTCTTTCTTCCCCTTTCTTTCTTTCTTTTTTCTTTTTTCTTTTTTCTTTTTTCTTTTTTCTTTTTCTCTCAAATTTCTTTCTTCCTTCGCTATCTCCTGGTGTTATGAGGGTTTTGTTTGGGGTCCAGGGATTGAACTGTACGAAGTATTCCAGTAATGTTTACATGGTATCAAGTCGTTTGTTCATAACCTGCCTCTTTATTCGGATATCAAATAAGCCACTGTTTAATTGCTTATCATTGTATTTCTTTTCAGACCGGGATCGTCGGCGTTCATCATAGAATAAACGAATATGTACGGAGTACACTTGATACCTGTACCTTTTTTATTGTTTTGCCATTTTTTATTTTTATTTTTATTTTTCTTAATAAATCAATCAATCAATTCAAAAACCTGTATAGTAGCGCACTGCAAGATGTGGACATCATTTGCATTTCCCACGCCTCTTGACATCGTATGCCTGCAGCAATTATTTGACAGGGAGCATTGGATGTGCTAATTGGGCAGTTGGGCAGCAGGCTAAGCACAATGAGCTCACTGGTCCTCAATAACCATGCCCAACTCTGCCATTAGGCCACCAGATCCAATGAAATTCTGTATCCAGTCGGGCAGTCAGCGTTTGCTTCATACTACTCCGTACACTACTGCAGCATCAGAGTTCTCGATCCTTCTTCTTTAAGCCTTTCCTCCTCTCCTCTCATCTCTCTCTCTCTCTCTTTAACCCCCCAGCCTTTGTTTTTCTTCTCTCGTTCTCAACTTCTGCCGCCATTATTTTGTTCTGTCTGAGATGATTATTTTGCTCCTCATTTCTCGGTGACTCGTGCTTGGTGCCCATCCCCTGTGTTTTTCAAGCTGCATCACATTCGAGTCTATCTTGAATTGATTAGGAATTGAATTGGATAGATCAATCCCAATTCCAAATATGAACAGACCTATCCTCCTGCATTACTGAGGTTTTGCAAAATTTCTGGATCATTTCTCACTTTGGCGGTGCCACTGCGTACCACGGCAGATAATAGCACGCCCGGCCCATCAAGCCTGCCTTTTTTTTTTTTTTTTTTGCCCTTTAGCCCCTCTCATTTTAGATACCCCGCCTCATATTGGCAGATCAGCGCATCCGTCACCGCAATTCGCTGGTCTTCCATAAAATTTGGAAACTCCATTTCGACGCCCGCTTCACTCGTACCTAAGTGAAAAAGCGAGGAAAAGACAGGGCGACAACCTATTTCTTGAACCCCTATGACGTACGTTATACACGCTGGTTCGATTGGGCTATTACCTGGGCTGATCACTTATCGCTGGGCAGGTTCAATATCACTATCGGATCGGATCATTCTATCTCAGACGAAGAGGACTCGTCCGGAGTTCGAGGATCCCCACTCTCAGATTCAGGGAGTCATGGATATCAGGACCCGTACGACGAGTGGGCACATCTACCATACCCGGATGAACTGAAGCCGTCTGATTCGGCTTCTCGGCCGAGGACGACGGGTCGAACCCGAATGCGAGCCATGGATCGGATGCCAGCTTCTGGTTCTATGCGACGTCACGCGCCGAGGCGTCATTATGTACAAGATCGAGAGCCACTTCCTCGTCGTTCACGCCGACCTCCTTCACCCGAGTCTCCAGAAAGTGAGGATTCTGGCGAGGAATATACAGGACCTTATGACAGACCCTCTCAGGACAGAAGGTTTTGGCCACCCGTGTCCCAAGGGCCAGCATATGCCCACAATCCGTCTCCAGGCCCATCATATCCATATCCCCATGACACAGTTCCACATGGGCCGTTTGGGCATCCAAATGGTGCTCACCCTCCATCTGATCAACTCGTAAGGGTGGGCCACCACAATGCGATGAACCAACCATCGCCATATGGACATCCACATCCCCTTTATCCGTACAGCACACAGTTTCACCACCACCCGCCAGGTGCACCCATATCTCCATTTTTTGCCCAGGATCCTCCAGGACATTTCGGGCGTCATTCACATCATCCCCAGGCGCCTCACACTCGGAGCAGCGCGCAGAGTCCACCGCCGCAAGCATTGTCACACCCGATACCGTCAAATGGGCCGCAATTCTACGGTGGTGCCCCTTTAAACTCTCATGATCTGGTACCTTACGGCCAGAATGGTTACTATCCATTTAGAGAGCCGTATCCAATGGCTCCAGGGATGATTCCACCTTATTATAATACCTATCCGCGTGCGCCATCCCCAAGTCGGGAGGAATCGAGTCCATCTCCTCCACCCGCTCCACCTGCAGATGCAGCCAAGGATGAAGCCATTGCAAGGCTAGAAAAGTTGATTTTGGAGGAGAGGTCGGAGCGTGAAGCCCGGGAGGCCCGGGAGGCCGCTCGTCAGGCAGAGATTGAGAAGGAGGCAGCTGAAGAGGCTGCTAGAGAAGAACGAGCTGCCCATGAGAAGCAGATCGCCGAGGAGGCCGCTGCTGCTGCCAGGGCTGAAGCCGAACAAAAAGCTGCAGAGGAAGCCGCCAAGGCAAAGCAAGAGGCGGAAGAAGCGGCGGCGGCAGCAGCAGCAGAAGCGGCGTCTGCGGCAACTGAGGCCGCAAATGCAGCAGCAGCGGAAGCAATCGCTGCGGCGCAGGCGGAAGCCGCTAATCAACAGCCCCCTCCGGAGGATAAGAAAAAGCCGATAAAGTTCAAAGACGCCATTGGGAGGAAATTTAGTTTTCCGTTTGAATTATGCTGCACTTGGCAGGTGAGATTCGCGTTCCTAGTACCATTGCGGGCATAACTAATCCATTGATCTTCAAGGGCATGGAGGAGCTTATACGCCAAGCTTTCCTTCACATAGAAGTTATAGGACCCCATGTTGCTGATGGTCATTATGACCTCGTGGGTCCCAATGGCGATATAATACTCCCGCAGATTTGGGATACCGTCATTGAGCCTGATTGGAGCATAACCATGCACATGTGGCCGATACCTGAAAAGCCCAAGACTCCCGAGCCTCCTCCAGCCCCAGAAGCTCCAGTAGATCCTGAGCCTGCCCCAGAGCCCGAGCCCGAGCCCGAGCCCGAGCCCGAGCCAGCTCCAGAACCAACTCCAGAACCTGAACCCGAACCAGCTCCGGAACCTGAACCACCAGCAGCCCCAGAAGTAGAAGAAGCTGTGCCTGCGTCCGAGGAACCAAAGAAAACAGGTATGCGCTAATTTCTTGTGATTGTAACGCCTTCTTTCTTTTCCTTTGTTTCTCCCTTTTTATGAGATTCAAATCCTCTGTCTCGCTACTGTCATTCTTGTAGCCTGTAGCCTTTTTACTTCTTGATACCTTGCTGATCGTTGATCTCTCTCCGCTTTTTTAGGTAGCAAGAAACAACGACAAAAGGATCCTGGAGCGTTCGCCATGTGGGTTGTCGGGGGCCACCGCATGAAGTCAAACAAGGGTTGGAAAGTGGTAAGAAAGTCTGAATAGCCGATTAACTTGAAGTATCCTACCGCGTTCTGTGATGGGGTTGGATTCAAGATTCGGTAGCCGCCGGGCTACGGTAGAGGCATCTCGATCATGATAATCTCACATTGATACTAGCTTCAAGAAAGGACAAACTCTAGATTTATTATATTGTTAGTATAAGGCTCACTTCTCTCTTCTCGTCAATCAAACAGGCGCAAGGTATAGTGTATCATGCATGGGGGAATGACTTTTTCCTTTCGGTGTCGAGTTGATTTTCAATACCTCAGGGCTATACAATGGGCAGTCATTTTCTGAAGGCGTTTGTCATGTTGTATTTTATCCGAATGTTCCGCCTATATTTTAAAAAAGTTGGTTTACAGAAGTCTCTTCGTAAATTGCTATGCGCTGGGAACCCTGGTACGGTAGACAACAGTGAAGAGTCTGAGTACTATCTAATACACGGGATCATTGTTCGTTCTATAAGAAAAAGCCCACTGGCCATTGCTACATGTACAGTAGTAATTACGACTCCATTAGGGTTGAGCCATTCTTACATCAATGCTCCCTTGCTTGTCCGATCCCCACTGACGATAAGTACTTGGTTTCTTCTCAAAATAACCAGAAGGACAGCGGTGAACCATCATATACTACAATGTAAAATGGATCGGTGGTGATTGTATTTTGGATTCTGCTTGGCTTACTCCCACCGGAAGCCCATGCGGAAATGAATGTCAGGTGGCACAGAAAACCAAGCGTTTGTATCATTAGAGTAGTGGTTTCCAAGTGATACTCCCATCCATAATATCGCCCAAGAGATCATTGGTATCCCTTCCAGTATTTGTATATTCCTGGGCTTGTTGCCCATTATGTCGATGTGCACTCGAACTTGGCAAACCTGAGTCTCGAGACGCTGAGCATGACTCTGCATCTTCTAGTGAAGATAAGTTGTTAATAGTTTGTAAGTGTGACTCGGACCGGATTATATCCTCATCTCTCATCAGTGGGGTTTGCCGTTGTTTCACATCATGTGATTTTCCCCTCGAGCTCAGGGAAATTGGCTTTCGAGGTATTGGCGGCGGCGTTTTATCTTGTGTTACTTTTCGGGAACCTTGTGTTTTCCAAGCGACAATGCTTTGTTGGTTGCCAGCTTCCGGTTGGGTTGGCGACTCATCGAGAAGTTCGCATTCCGAAGAACGCGGTGATGCTTGCCCCGTGTTCGTATTACTGTTCATATTCGTACCCCATTCTGATGAGCCTGATATACGGACCCAGTCAGATTCGTCATTCGAGGAAAATGGGTTAGAATTCCGATCCATGTTCACAGCAAAGCCATTTGCTGGTGGCCTCATGGTTGACCTCGCAGGGGCACCTTTTGAATGTCAATACCACAAGCACAGATGGAGAGGGAAAGAGAGAGAGAGAGAGAGAGAGGCTGAGCGGGGGTTGTCAAATCCCACAAAACGATGTATATAAAACACAAAAGGAACATACCATCATCTAACCACCACTTGTGGTTGTCTGAACTGGCTGGTGGAAGAGCAGGTGTAATGTCAGCAGCCTGGATAGCCTCCCTATCTATGATATCCACCTGCATGATTCCTTTTGCGAGGGCATCATGCACGCCATGCTGTCTCTCATCATAGAGAGCTTGCCTGAGCTGAGTCTTCAAGGATTCATCAATGACGTTGATTGTGCAAATGAATTTGGCACAAACTGGTCGATGGTCAGAGAACCGTAAATCTGCAGCATTATAGTATATCTGATAGAGGTTGGATCCTTTCCACAGCACTCGATCACACCATGCAGGTACACGTGCTTTCTCTCTGGCGGGAAAATCAGTTTAATTTCCTCAACCGTTTGGCAAGATCAGGGCATCTTACGAGGTATCATATTCATTTCTGCCAATGTCATATTTGTATGTCGGAGGAAAGCGTACTGGGCCCTCGGAGTAGAAGTGGAAAGCCCTCCCGCCTAACATCTGTAAGTTCAACTATGGACCGTTGTCAGCCGTATATATATATTGCAGGAATAGTCGTGCGTAGTACCTGATCATTGTCATAGAGTCGCTGATAATCCCCGCGAAGCAGAAGTTCTCTGACGTTTTGATTGCTTAGGCCAATCCGATAATTGAAATCACCCAGCCATATAATGGTGTCATGATCTCGAATTGATCTATTTTTCTGAAACCTAAGACCACTTTCTATGGTTTCGTAGTCTCTGTTCCTGTCATCATAGTTTGCAAACCCAGCTGCAAGATGCGCTGTCACGAAGCATATCCGGGTGTCAGAATATTCAAAACGAATGGCGCAGCCTCCCTTGTTGCCGCTGATTCCAGAAAGACCCGTCTATTGGGCCGTTAGCAATATGATCAACGATGTATGGATGGGAAACCTGCCTTTTTGACACTCCCTTCGACATTTTTGATTTCTTTGAGCACATCTTCTTTCACGAATACCATTAAAGCCGCACCGACAAGCTGACCGCTCCGTAAAAGGACATACTTCCCTGAGTCTCTTGATTTTGAATAACTATTCAAACAGCTTTTCACAGCATTCTCCCATACTTTGCGTGTAGTAGGATCTGTGGACATTATCTGTTGCGGACTTAGTGCGACAATTTCCTGAAATCCAACGGCGAATATTGTCGGTTCATCCCCTTGTTGATCGAGGACTGGGAACAACCACGGCGCAAGGTCAACATCTGGACCAAGGTCGCTTCCATTTACGTTGAAAGTACCAGCCCATACTCTTATTGACCGGGCAAAGGAATATTCTGACGCCCGTTGGCTGAGCTCTTGAGATACCATATCATTGAGAGGATCGTATAGGCGCACTGGTACTTGATTCGTCAACCGCCCTAATAGAAGCTCAATCGTTTTTTGTCGCGCTTTATCCGAGAAATTGTTCACGTATAGCCGCGTGGCTGTTTTGCGTGCATCTGCAAGCGCACCTGCAAATGACATTTTTCCATGCCGAGTAAATGAACTCTTTAGAGCGCCGGTCCCTGCATATATCTTTGAGAGGGAATCTCCGTTATCAGCCCATAAGGTTGAATGCCTCATTTGAACTTCAGTGCTCAAGGCGGCTCCTTGCTGGGAAAGAAACAGCTCAAGTGCCATTGAACTGAGTATTGTCTGTACAAGATTGGTCCTGTCGAGACAGTCCAAGCAGTTTGTCCGAAAAACACCTTCTTGTTGTAGGACAATAGGGGAACTCTGTTGCGAATCTGGACCTCCAACTCCAGATGTGGCTGCATACTCAGAATCTTCGGACAAGAAGTATGCGAACCCCTGTAAAGAATTCATTACTTCATGTCTGATCTGGCTGCTTGCCCCATATCCAAGTGGGCCTCTGGTTTCCGCATGGAAATCGAACTCAGTGGTCCGTAGAAGGGCATGGTCGGACAAATTACCAACATCTTCTTTTTGTTCAAGCCTTCTCATGATATGTGAGCGAAACTTTGTCGAGAGCTCTGTTTCTCCAGATTTAAGCCCGCTAAGAAGATTAACAACGTGAACGGCTCCATATTCTAGTTCGAGGTGGTCAAAGTGCTTATTAAACGCATGCTGTGTTGCCTCGGTAGATCGTGTTATTTCAATCTTTTGCTGTCCGGGAAGGAACCCGGTAGCTTGTTCCCAAAAGATAGGCACCGAGCCGCGGACTTGAACATAAGAGAATGTAATGCCGGAGGGCATCCAGAGAATCGTTTCAGTTTCTACGAAGTTAGCGACGTTTCCGTCATCATCGATGCCACGGGAATTGAATCGCGTTCCTGCGCGCCCTGAAGCTTGACGCGAGATAATCGTTAGAGTGGACGGTAAATTGGTTTGAGCTGGAGGCAGGATAGGAACGGAGGCAGGAATCGTCAGTGTGTTAGCGAACCCTCGTATGACACAGGTAAGGATCTTGGAAGAGTCAAGACGCGCCCTTTCGGGCGGTGGGAGGTGGCTTCGGAAAAGGAGCAGAGAACTGATCATGTATGAATTCCATAGCATATCCTCATCGAGCGTTCCGATATCAAAGGCTGCCGACTTCTCAGCACTGACAGCGCGTCAGCCAAGCCTGGTGAGCGAGAATTCGAATTGGCTCACCGATCTTGCAACCGATCCGTGAGATTGAAATCACGGCTATAGTAGAAACTGCCATCGCTGAGTAACTTCTTCAAGGCGAGAAATGGATAATCAAACTCTCTGTCTTCAACACCCAGAGCAGTGGCATGATTGTATTCATCGGCATATTCAGCCTCATAATCCAGTCCATCATAGTCCGGACGATTAAGACAAACTATTCAAGTCAGTTCCGAACCGACAGATGTAAGGCGTGTTTCAAGGATGGTAGGGAAGTAGTACAGAAGTCCACATTATCAATCCTCAAGATTGTCTCTCCAGGTCTGACTGTTGCAGCTTTCGAGGAACCAGTTACAACACACAGGAAGACATCTTCGTTTAGTGTGACCAAGCCAAGTGTGCCATATCCGTTTCCTAAGGCTCTGTAGCCCTTGAGGTCTACAGATGATAAGCTTGAAAACTCCACTAGGCAACGTGGCGGCTCTCGCTGGGAGTTGGGAACTATATCTGTTGAGCAGTAGAAGATCAGGGCGTGTTCTGGGGTCACCAGAGCAATTGTTCGTTGCGGATAGTCCTGGCAAAAAATCCGTAAGCTAGACATAGACATGGCTTCAGTCTACCAAATGGGCATAGTTAGGATAGATGCCAACACAAAAAGCATAGGATACCCGAGCTGCGATAAAACAGTCGGAGACGTGTTCCAGTTCGATTCCATTAACAACTAACTATGCATTATGTAAGATATCTTTTCTTTTCATTTAAATGGTCCTTTTTTCTTCCATAGGTACTCCGTACAGGGGTAGTAAGAGTGACCGTATGAGATCCATTATAGTATTACTCCTTCCCCAATCTTACCCAAACAATTGGAAGCATTATAACATGGGCGAACTTTATTTTTTGGGAGTTGGGCATTATAAATTTCTTATATACTACTATCATCGATATCCTTGTTTTCTACAGATGTGGCTAGTTTCCTTTGCTAATTGCTCTCATGTTTTTTTGCTGCTTCTCCTGAAGACTCCGGATTTAGGTAGCTTACTCATCAAAAGTGCTTCCTATCAGTGATTGATAACAATTTTGAAACTTTTTTTTTTTTTTTCCTTTATCGTTATTCTCCAGACTATCTTCCATCTTTTGTTTTGTTTTTCTCTTTTTTTAATATTATTTTCTTGTCTTCCAGGCATCTGAGAAAAGGAAAAGAGTGTACGCAGAATTTAACTGCCGTAGATGGGTTTGGCAGCGCCTCGCAAGTATGTTATTTCCTCAACTTCTTCTCTCCGGCAAACATATCAATTAAAAAGGTAAACCAGCATATCTCTGATCCTCAATCATCTTTGACATCTAGGCGAACAAAGATATCGCATGACCCGAACAACGTAAATTGGTCCCGGTCGACGAGTGGTTTCGGGCATAAGATTCTCAGTTCCCAAGGATGGACTCCAGGGAGTCTTTTAGGCGCTCGGAATGCTGCGCATGCTGATATGCTCACTCCTGCCAGCGCATCTCACATTAGAGTCACCGTGAAAGATGACACTCTCGGTTTAGGCGCGCGACCTAAGACTTTGAATGAGCCAACTGGCCTTGATGCGTTCAAAGGACTACTGGGCCGACTAAACGGAAAGTCAGACGTCGAATTGGAGAAAGAGCAACGGAAACGTGACGACATCAAACTGGCCCAATATGCAGCAACGAAATGGCAAGCCGTCAGGTTCGTTCGTGGCGGTCTATTAGTCCAAGAGAAGACCGACGCTGCTACCACCAAGTTTCCTGAAAACAAATCCACGGATGAGAAAGGCAACGGAACAAACAATGATGTCACTATTGATGGTTTGAACACCAGTATCTCACAAACTGTCACATTGCCTAACAGGGATTTGAAGAATAAAGATAAGGAGAAAAGGGAAAAGAAGGAGAAGAAGAGAAAGGAGAAGAAAGAGAAAAAGGAGAATGATAACTCACAAGGGGATGAGAATGACAAATCACAAAGAAAACGGGATAAGAAAGCTAAGAAGAGGAAGCACAGCGAGGATAGCGAGGATATTGATTCAAGAATGACGACCAGGGATGCTGTCATTACGGAAGCGAATGTTGCTGCGGGGACATCATCAGTGGCTGCACCGACCTCAACGTCGAGGAAAGAGCGCGTTCCACTAGGCAGGAATGTTACCAGAGCGAGGCATATCGCACAGAAAAAGAGGGCACTTTTGGATGACAAGTCCCTTAATGAGGTAATTGAAACCCTGCATATACATTTGGAGGGATATAATTGCTAATTGAGATCCAGATTTTTATGGTTAAATCCTAAAAACGCGTGGTACAGGGGGCTCTGAGAAAGTGAGGGTTTTCTCTCTGCAGCTTGTTTTTGAACAAATTCTCTGGCTGGAACATCCTTATGTCCTTTTTTCTTCCTTTCTTCCCTGTTTCTGACTGTAAATTTGTGCATGGCGTTCAGCATTAGGACTCAGAAAGGGAGTACATAATATCTCTGGGTCAACCCTACTTCTGACACCTTTACGCTTTACCAACTGATAATATATATAAGATAGACAGTACATCTAGACCCAATCAATGTACTGAAATAAGGGACAGAGAGAGAGCCTTTTCTTTTTTTTTCTATTTTGTTTATTTTTACTTAATTTTTTTTTTGAGAAGATAATACACCCAGCCAAGAGCCATGTCATCATTGCTTCTCCACATACGGAGTTAGTGCAATCGACCATCCACCGTTCCTTTATTGTACCATGATCTATTCAATAAACCATGACATCCGATCTTACTAAATAAAGTATTTAGTTGATGATTTTTTTCGATTTTCTGACTCCATATAAGAGACGTCCTAGCTTGTCTGATGGTCCCAAATGTCCACACCCAACATCGTCAAAGAGCCCGTGCAGCGGGCTCTGGGAGAGTCAGTTGCGCGACAAGATGCGACGGCCGTGGGGCAAGGAATGCCCCTCAAGTCAAATAAACCAAACCTGGCAGCTCGGGATAGTCGGCCTCAATCTCGTGAACCACATCGCAAGTCTCATCCTGCGGATGATACTGAATCGGAATCATTCGAACACAGAAACTGGGCAGGCGAAAGTCCAAAGCATAATCATAACGCATTAGAGCTACGCGGGGCTTCTGGCAACACTCGCCCAAATAAGCTAGGAAACAGCGGGAAAAAAGGAGGGTGAGATAATCCGGCTCCTTTGGAATGAAAAGCTTTAGGCGAGCTGACGACTGATCCCAGTATTCATTGGGCACCCTTGAACATTGGACTCGAACGACGCCTGCAGACCTTTGTGGTACTATGCCATACTCTCACCATTGCCATATTCCTGACTTGCTTCTTTTTCACGTGCGCAATACCGTTATTCTGGCCGATATTGATTCCTTACCTTGTTTATATATCGCTTTTCTCTGCGACAGCCACATCGGGAACGCTAAGCCGCCGGAGCGAGTTCTTGCGTTCTCTTCGAGCCTGGTCGATATATGTGTCCTACTTTCCCGCCCGGCTGCATCGCTCAGAGCCGCTTCTTCCGACACGCAAGTACATCTTTGGCTATCATCCACATGGCATCATCTCTCATGGCGCGTTCGCGGCATTTGCAACGGAGGCACTCGGATTTTCCAGACTTTTCCCGGGTATTACCAACACTTTGCTGACCCTTGATTCCAATTTCCGAATTCCATTTTACAGAGAATATGCTCTCGCCATGGGACTTGCAAGCGTTTCCCGCGAATCTTGCGAGAACTTACTTACCAAGGGGGGAGCTGATGGTGAAGGCATGGGACGCGCCATTACCATCGTGATTGGTGGTGCTCGGGAGTCTCTTGACGCCCTGCCACATTCTATACGGCTGGTCTTGAAACGGCGCAAAGGTTTTATCAAGCTAGCGATCCGCACCGGTGCTGACTTGGTACCCGTTCTTGCATTTGGTGAGAATGATCTTTATGAGCAAGTACGCTCTGATCATCATCCTCTCATACACAAATTCCAAATGCTCATAAAGCATACCATGGGCTTCACTATCCCGCTTTTTCATGCCCGCGGTGTTTTCAACTATGATGTAGGGTTGATGCCGTACCGTCGCCCATTGAACATCGTCGTCGGTCGTCCGATCCAGGTTATCCAACAACATGATCGGGATGAAATCGACGATAACTATGTCAATGAACTTCACACTCGATACGTCTCCGAACTCCATCGGTTGTGGGACCAATGGAAAGACACTTTTGCAAAGGACCGGGTTTCAGAATTAGAAATCATTTCGTGAGGGGACCACAGGACTGAACCAGTTCCCCCCCTGTTTTGTTGTTTTTATGTTTTGCCAAAGGCGTTTTGTGCATATCACCAGTGCATAGTGTGAGTCTAGTCTATTGAGTTACTCAAGACCCAATATAGTCATACACGATATACAAATAAACAGTATAAGCATTATTATCATTATAACAAATAAGACATGCACAATCACCATGGAACCACGTTAAATGGCCACAAGGGGCATATATATGCCAAAAAAAAAAAAAAAAAAAAAAAAAAAAAAAAAAAAAAAAAAAAAATTTAGAACATAAACACCAGAATGGTATGGGGTAAGTACCCTCACACCAAACCTCATTTTAAATCAGCAGCAAAATCAAAGGTCGAGCATAGATCGAGCAAAAAGTCAAGTCATACAAGCACCATGTCTGCATCCATAAGAACAAAATATTATTGAACACTGCAACAAGTCAAAGTCATTCGAAGAATAGAGAAGAGAGAAGAAAAGCAAAGCAACATGGGTATCTGAAAAGGAGAGAAAAAAGGGTACAAGCAAGAAAGAAAGAAAAAAAAAAAAACATTTGTAACAATAACCAATGAACCACAAACGCATTTCATCCCTTGCAACCGAGGCCTTTCCTATATCATAGCCAGATGAGTATACAACAGTGAACTGTATAGAGACAGCCCAACCCAATCACTGCCTTTCTTACTCAGTTGCACCATTCTTTGCAGAATCAACTGAATCTAAGGTAGCGTTCAGACTGGGGACTCCCGTCATCTGCGTAGAAGTTCGTCGACTGTCAGCAGCCACACGAACACTTCCACGCGAGCCCTTAATAATATGGCCGCTTTCCACCCGATCTTGAATCATATCGTCCAGCATCTTTGATACCTCATCCACACTTTTCCTTTTCTTCTCCTTTTCACTTTCCACGAGCGACAAACGCGGACTATTCGACATTTCAGGTGATCTTGAACCACTATTCGTGTCGCTATTTGGAGTTTGGACCGGATCGATAGCTACACGGGCCACATCTCGATGTCGAGTTGCTGAGCGAAGGGCAGCAAGCATCCGGTCCTTGTCATCGAGCTGCGAACGAAGTTCGTTGATTTCCATATCCTTCTCTCGGATAATGGCCGCTGTATCGGTATCGGGGTTTTCGGTTCCAGTATTGCCAGTCTTGATTCCTGCTGACATCCGAGAATGGCTTGAACGCCTAGCTTGCAGTAGACGTCTCTCAAGTGTGGCGATATAGCGGTTTTTGTCTCCAAGATCGGCCTGCAGCGTAACAACATGTCTTTGAAGGCTCGCCTTCCCGTCTGCAAACTCGCCCATCGTATCGTCATCATCCTCATTCCCGATGGATCCATTCGAGAACGCCAGATTAGAGGAGAAATCATTGCTATTGATAGACATAAAAGAAGTGGGCCTGATAGAGTATCCCCACGCGCCCAAGGTGGATTGGCTGACGGAAGAACGCAGTGATCGGGACCCGGAATCATTGATAGACATCCTCGAAAACCGCCCCAAGGCGGAGAAATTACCCTGGGTGTTTACCCCGGTGGATTTCGAACACAAAATCAAACGGTTGAGGTGCTCGATTCGTTCTTTCAGTGCTGTCCGTGCTAGTTGTATCTCCAGCATCTGTTCCTCGTGGCGTGTCTGCGCTTCTTTTTCGAACTGCTCATCTTCCAATTTCATCTCCTTTTCGGCTTGAGCTTTGGTATGGCTATCCAGCTGAGAACGAAGGGCTTGGATTTCCATCCGGTAACGTTCTAGAAGGACCCGGCTACCTGAATCACCACCGCCACTACCGAGCGCTTCCTCTGCCTTTTTCGCATGGCTGACAATGCTGTTTTTGGCGCGAGCGGCGAACTTGAGTGTATTGAGAGTTTCCCCCGAATGCGAATTGGCAGCTGCCGAGCTTCCTGAGGCGATCAATGCAACAGTACAAAGAATGCTAACCAGCGAATTGCCCGACAAGGCAGGTTGCAACAGCCGCGTCAATTTGCTATCCCGATATGGTAGGTGTCTACCCTCTTTATCGGTAGGATTGCCGTTCTTGTCCTTGTTTTCTGATAGCCTTGAAATGATAGTACCCAGAGTGAGCAAGCTTTTGTTGATATGGGCACCTTCCGTGCGGCGCTCTTTGTCGTCCGCAGCTCGCTCCGAGCCGGCCAGATCAATCAAGCTGAGAGTTGACACTCTTACTCCACCTGGGATTATACCCGACCGCTTGTCCTGGGGCGTACCGGCGGGCGCTCGTTCTCTGCTTTCAACGACAATCTGAACAACCGCGTGACTTCGAGAACTGCGTGCATTGAATTGGGTGCTGCTGGTTCTCCTCGCATGGTCACCTCTTGCGATTACACGTAGGAGTTGCGTCGGACTCTGAACAATCTCCTCCTTTAATGGTGTTGCGTATACCCCACGTTTGCTATCCTCGCGTAGTTTGATATCTTCTTGCTGAGCACCGGCGGCAGGGGCTGAAAGTAGGTCATGGATCTTTTCGTTATAGATTTCCAGGTAGCTGACACGTAGTAGAAATTCTCGATGTGGCGTTTCTCTAATGAAGGAAAATATATCCGTTATTGCCAACGGAATAACACCCGGAGAGGTAGCGGTTCCTTGCATAGAGAAGGTTTTACCGGTTCCAGTCATACCATAAGCAAAAACTGTACCATGGTAGCCTTCCATAACCCGCCTTACAAGGCGTTTTGCGGCCGCATCGTAAACCTTGGCGTTATGCTCATGAGCAGTGAAAACGTTATCTATTCACACGGGAGGTTAGCTGGATTTCTCTCTTTTGGTTTTTTTTTTTTTTTTTTTTTTCAAAAAAAAAATAAAAAATATCCTTGTCCTCCATTTCACCGGGGAGATCGATTCCATACCATAATAATAGTCGCCAGCTTCCTTCCCTCTATGCGAGATGAGGCCTTTTCGCCCCTCCAGCTGCCACTCCGATCTCGACGCATCATTTCCGCTAGCGTCAGGGCGAACTCGAACACTGACAATGACATTGCCTTTGGCTTCCTTGGATTTCGCACCGGTCTTAGCAGCACCTGTTGCGGTGTCATCGGCCTCCTCGTACGTGGTTGCGCTCGTCGAGTATGACTCCTGAGCCGAGGAGCTTCGGCTTTGTGAAGGAGAAGCATCTGGGTCTCGAGCATCCGCACTGAGAATCGATTTCCCATCTCCGTTACCATTCAACAAAGAGGGTGTCTTTGAACTCCGATAGCTGCTGGTCGTACCGGAACTTAACCTTGAGCCTTTTCTAGCTTTTATGCTCCCGGATGAACTGACACCAGGCATATTTGAGGAAGCGGTCCCAGGACGGCTTCCTGTCTTGGGTGGCTGGGGAAAGGCTGCGATACTGATAGTTCTGCGCAGGGATTTGTCTGGACTGCTTGGCGGTCGACCACTTGATGCTGAGCGTGGTGCACTGATGTTGGTAGTGGAGTTGGATAATGGGGACTTGCTAAGGGTCGGTCGCGGACTTGAGGGGGAGCGAAGTTTTGATGGCGATTGAGACGGAGATGGAGCTCTGGACGTATCAGAGGGAACGGGAAGACTCTTTCTTGATTTTGGGACTGGCAGTGGTGGTACAGGTGCGGCCGGCGAAGTCGCGGTGGGCCGTGATGGTTGAGGCATGGTGGAGGCCATGGTGATCTGGTCGATAAGTCTTTCAACTCGGTCTTTTTACCAACTTTAACCTCCACCACAAACAAAGAAAAGATCCAAAATTCACGTCTTAATGCGGATGCGATTGGCCATGTGTGTAGCCAAGAAGGAGCTAGCTGCAGAATAACGGTGTGTTAGAGAGTTTGACACAAGATGTCGGCTGTTGCTGCGACACAAAAACACGAGCCATTGGGCAGACATGGTTTTAACCGTGCGAAACTGGAGAACAAAGTGCAGCCGCGCTACGAGATGCAAGTATTCAACAACAGGGAAAAGGGCAGAGAAACAGGTGACTATACAATGGTATATAGTAGCTGCCGGATTCGAGGCTGCCCCTATCCGTCCGAATTTCGAACAATGGCAACAATGGCAACAATGACAACATTGAAGTAAAACAAAAAAAATAAAAATAAAAAAAAGTGCAAAGACGAGTATCCCCTGATTATAAAATAAGAATAAACTCACTTTTAGATTGCAGCTGTATTATTTAACCAGACACTTCCAGCCTGGAATGTGAAAACCGGAGGCGTAATCGTTGCGCGCCACCGTGCCGTGGGTATTCGCTATACCTCAATCAAACGGCGAACGAGTATATTTATATGAGGAATTGGAATTGGAATTGGAATTCGTTATTGCTATTGTTGCGGATATCGTTGTTCCCGTCGGCGCTCGAATGCGCGCAACAATACCGATTCCTTTTTTTTGCGGGGAAGGGTATTTGGGAGAGAAAACAAGCGAACAGGACACTCGGCAACGGAAAGTGATAACTTTGATAACGTATGTACGTGAATTAAGACCCAGACAATAAGAAATTCTTTTCTTTTTTTCTTTCTTCCTTTATGGGCGAACGGGAGTTAGGTGGAAAGGAGATTAGGACGCCTGAGTCAGTGGTCACCTTCCAGCGACGCGAGGCGTTGATAAGGTAGGGAAAGAGGAAAGAGAAGAAGTTCAAGGAAAACAAACCCAGAGAAAGCACGAATGAAGGAAAGAAGAAAGGAAAGGAGGAAAGGAGGAAAGGAGGAAGAGAATCATACTACCCCAATGCTAAACTGTCCCAGACTAGCCAACTGGGTTCTACTACAAAGTTAGACCATCTACTTCAAGCATCTACAGAGTAAAGGATACACAACAACGCGCTATCCATGTGGAATCCCATCTTTATTTCCTGAGTGGACGCAGGAGGGAATCGTATGGACAGAGAACATTCTGCAAATTTATCATGATTATGATTCTATCATGGTCCATTGACTGCTGGAGGATGATCAATTGTGATGGTGATTGTGATTCCATTTTTTTAGCTTTGGAAGACAGAGCAATTCATCTCTCTGTTTTCTTTGTTTCTTCCTCTCCTAACTCCATTTTAAATATAAAATTATATATTACTTTTCTTGATATTATCATTAGCATTCTGTATTATGTACCCCGTATAGAGAGAGTACGGGATTCCGGTTCGAGTAAGTACAGTACATAGTAGTATGCCGGCATGAGTTCGGGGTTCCTCTGGTATATGAAGATCCCCAACTCAGACCACCCTCTGGTTTCTGCCCGCGTCGTGTCAACCCTGGCCTTCTTTAATTCGAGCAAAGTGTGATATTCATGGCTGGGTCATTTTCATCCTATCACATACAGCGTCCGTGCAGCGTCCGTACTCGGCACTCTAATAAGTGTATGTACTGTACCCCTGACATCGGGAAGTATGTGTCTTGACTGCCTGTCTGTCTGTGTGGTTTCAGGGGTAAAAAGTCCCGGAAGACCCGAAGTTTTTTCAAGGGCAGAATGGGTCCTTCTCCACATGTGCTGACTATATAGGTAGTTACCCGTTCCAGACGGTTGATAATAATGAACACCAGGGGAACGACATTTGCTCTGGAGGGTCTATACGGAGATTGATTATACACCAAAAAGAAAATAACAGGGAAGGGATTGAATAAACCCCTGGTTTTACCTACACTACTCCGACCGGTGTGCTAAATATACCCATATGTAGTACGAAGCATAGAAGACCATCGGGGAATTTGTAGTTCGTCTGATAGCCAGGGTTCAGTCTTCCCTCGGTCAACGCTAAAGACAACTCGGCCACAGATTGTCCAGTATGCATATCAATCATTTATTTTCCGTTGTGGAGTTGATGCTTGTATGTACGGAGTAGTTAGGAAATGAGACATTGTGCAAGAGAGCACCCAGAGCCGGTTTAGCCATTTATATTTGGGATGTGTTAATCCCGTGTCTAGATCGACTAGTTCTGGGCATCTGCCATCTCGTTCATATAACCAGTTCTGGAAATGGTCAATCACGATGCTTGCGGGAAGTTGGTGGCATGCTTCATTAGGAGTGGGCTTAACAGTGCATATTAGTCCATTGGTAGAGTTAGTACGGAGTATTACAGAAAAGTAAGAGTCTAATATCCATATCCATATAGCTCCTGTCAGAGAGCCGAGCTTGTGCTGTAAGCACTACGCAATAGTGTGATCCATTGCAAAGGATGAAACTCAGATCACCATGCATGTCCACTTTATATGCACTTCATGCATACAGGGTACAGTGGAAGCTTATTACATGCCTTGCAAGTTCTCAAACCATGTCTTACAACTGTTCTTCAGTCTCGATCTACTCTGTACAGATCCCGATACACAATATGCTGCTTGCTATACATGGCCAACGCAGAGACCATACTGCCTCCAACACACCACATGCATACCGAACCCGGCTATTAAAAGAATCTTCTATTATAATTAAATTACGACTACCTATCTAAATCTCTCGGAAGCATGATGTCCTCTCCTAGCGTCGCTATATTGCAGAAAAGTCTAACTTGCGAGCAGCATTCTTGAATGCATTTTCATCAATCTCCCCGCCACGCCTTGTAAGATCATCACCCATTTTCTTGGTGCCTCCGGACTTCCGGGGAAGATCGTGTTTGTCTGTTGGCCGCGGTTCATTGGTCCACCAGTTATGCTGCAAGACTTCGCATGCGGTTTTCCGTTTCCTGGGATCCAGCGTACACATGGACATGAGCAAATCGGCACCGACTGGACCGGCGTTCGGAAATTGACGAAGGAAGAAATCTCGTCCCTGGGTCGGGACAAGGTGATTCCTGTCGGGAGGGATATAGTTTGGTAATTTTGTGACACCCGGCCAGTTCTCTTCAGTGGGTGTACCAAAGGCATCACATATCTTGCTGATTTGATCGAGATCAGTGTTTCCGGCGACAAAAGGGACTCGGAGAAGAAGTTCCGCGAAAACCATTCCCATGGACCAAACATCAACGACACCAGAGTATTGTCGAGCACCGTAGAGCAATTCGGGAGGTCGATACCAACGTGTGATAACTTGGTGTGTCATGTTCATATAAGGGTCCGCAAAGGACCTGGCCAGACCAAAGTCTGCGAGTTTGACTCCGCCATCAGACGCAATCAGAAGGTTATTTGGCTTGATATCTCGATGCAATATAAAGTTTTCATGGCAAAACCAGACTCCTCGAGCGAGCATTCCCATCCACGCCTTGATATCGGCGGCACCATAATGGATATTACCATCTTTAATCAGCATCTCAAGATCACCAAGTGGCAGAAATTCTAATACCAAGTTAAGATTCTGGTCCTTGGAAGAGAAGACATCGTGAAGCGCAATGATGTTGGGATGAGAGAGTTCCTGCAGATATTTGACTTCGCGGATAGCATCCATGGACAGCCCATCTTTGTATTCGGCATTGACCTTAATCTTCTTTATAGCGACGAATGACGACGGATCGGTTCGAAGACGGCCGAGGAATACAACTGCATAAGTACCCTCACCAAGCCTCTTGTCTGCAACCTTCGCATTAGCTCTGTATTGTCATATCTGGCGAGATCAGAATGAGAAACAAAACGGGAGGCTCAATTCCTGAATATACATACCCTTAACATACTTCTGTCTTACTTCGTCGTTTAGTTGCTCTGTAAGCTCACGATCTGTGTTTTGCGAGGGCTGATGTGAAGATGTGTTCTCGGGCTTCGCTGAGCTCCGGACATTCGCAGCCCTTAACTTGGCCGGAGAAGAACTTGCCGCAGAGGGCGAGTGGGAAACCAAAGGAGATACCGCCATTATTGTGACCCCCAAGGAAAACAAAATAAAGGGGCAAGGATAGTCTAAACCAACACTGGACGCTAGGTAGTATCAAGGATAACGTATGGCAATAATTGGCGGAAGACGCATTTCTTTTCAAACTTCACCACATTAGATAGAGCAGTTCGGTAATGTCTGAAATTTCGATTCACCCTTGACCATTTTTTTTTTTTTTTTTTTTTTTTCAATATTAGCAAGTTTCTGCGTAGATGGATCTGTATTTGTATCTGTCGGAGGTCATCGGTGGTCCGCGAAAGCCCCCGGAGATTAGTTGATCCCGGAAGCAAGTACGGGCCTCCAAATTTCTTAATTGACACTGCTTCAGTCACCAGAAAAGTTGACATCACCGAGGCTTTTGGTTAAATTGGCCCGGTATCTCGCTTGTTATTTTCGACTTAGTCTCCTTGGTCACGTATCTTCGCCTTCTGGGCCGACAGGGTACAATAATTCGGTTCTTTGGCGAGAATTCACGAATAGCGAAAAGTAGCCCACCATGGCGATGCGCGGCTCACGACTCGGCCTCTTTTCCGCAAGATTGATGAAACCGTTCCGCGTGACGAGACAATGCGTCCGATGCCTTCACCAGAACAATGAAGTCCCGCGTGTCCCCTCGCCCACTCCGTTCGTCCCTAATGTCGAAACCTTTCTCAGTCTGATCGGCCGCGGCATGTCAAAACATGCTAGCAAATTGCCTTCTTGGGACAAATTATTCACACTCTCCTCCACCGAACTTCGAGACCTAGGTATTGAGCCCGCACGCCAGCGACGGTATCTGCTCCGGAAGCGCGAGAAGTTTAGAAATGGCCAGTATGGGGTCGGAGGTGACCTTGAGAATGTGGTCGATGGTGTTGCGCAGTTGAGAGTAGTTGAGGTCCCCTACGAATTTACTACGAGTTCGACACAAGCCACCGAGTCGGTATCGTTATCTTCGTCTGCTACTTCTACGCCCGGTATGAGAAAGGTCATTGTGAACCCAAACCCCGACGCTACCGACTACAAGCCCGATTCGTCGAAGCCGCTGAAAAAGTTCGAGCACATGAAAATCCATAACGGATCGATGATCAAGGGTCCCTTCGTACAAATCATGAAGGGTACAAATGGCAGCGCTGCGTTGATCAAGGCCCAGGAAGGCATGTGGGAGGACAAGCAAGGACACAAGGTGGATGGTGGTGAAAGGAGACAAGCCGAAGTCAGGGCTAAAAAGCGCATTGAAGAGAGAAGAAAGGGACCGGCATAAAGTCTTTGATTCAGGAGTATGTTGGGAATCGAAAAATGAAAGCAGTGTAGAGGGAGTTGCATGGTACCATTAAGGACAAGGCAGCTTGCCGCCTGCTTGTATAATAGCTCCTCAGTCTTCCTTTCTATTCTTTGATGTGTATGAATTGTTATAAGCCAATTGATTATCAAATTCCTACTTATGCCTACATCATAGTGATATCAGAGCAGATACAGAACATATAGTTATAGTAGTGTATGTACTGAATTCTTGATTATCCTCTATATGTCATGAACATGATTAAACTGATATACATACTGCAGTATGGTCAGAAAAAAAGAAGGCAGTTCGGTGACCAACGAAACAAATAATCTACAGCCAGCAATCATTAGTCGAAATGCAGGATGACGGCACTCATAAAAGATCTAGGGCTGCTGGCCATGTCGCCGTTCTGCCTATAATTAAAAGGTTTTAAGTAGGAAATTGCCGTAAATAGCACGTAACTCTAATCATGCCTTGGTAGCAGATTCACGCTTTTCGTACTGCACAAAAGATTGACCAAGGGGCTTCGAGAACAGAGACTAAATTCAATTGTTAGGTCATAGGGTCACAGAAAAAAAAAAAAAAAAAAAAAAAAAAAAAAAAAAGGGGGGGGGGGGTTGCAAAATACGGTAACTTACCGAGTAGTCCGTCTCCGGGATGTCCTCAGCTCCTGGCATGTTGCGGAATTTGAAGATTCTCACCAAGGCAGCAAGAATCGTACCAAGTTGTACATAAGCAAATTGCTCACCAATGCACCTGTGGCGTCCGGCACCGAATGGGAGGTAGGGGCTATTTGTGCCCTTGCTGACCAAACCGTATCCGTAGTCGATCTTCTCCTCATCTTCCGTGGTGGGCTGAGCAACTTCATCCCAGCGGTGGGGGTTCCATACAAGAGGTTTGGGGAAAAACTGCTCGTCTCTCGCAGAGACACCTGGCGAAGAAAGCACATTGTGAGACGTAGGAATCACATACGGAGTATCGTCCACCGGCATGGGGTTCTTGACGGCTCGAATGATCGAATGAATGGGCGCATGGATACGAAGGGTTTCCTTGATGACTTTAGAATGGAGATCCAGCTTCTGCAGACTCTCAAACGTGAGGTCAGGGAGATCAGGGCCGAGAACACGGAGTTGCTCTTGGTAAAGCTCCTCGGCAATGTCTGGGCGAGCCGCAAGACGCAAGAGAATCCAGGATGCAGTAGAAGAAGAGGAGTGTTGGCCAGCCATCAACAGGGCAATCATCATGTGTGCGATCTCCTCATCGGGAACAGGGGTGCCATTCTTGTAAGTGCACGACATGAGGTTCCAAACCATGTCTTCAGAATCTTTCTTGCCACCGGCCTTGCGACGGTCATTGATGATTTCCATGTACGTCTCGGTCAACTTCTTCTGAGCGGCGTCACGCTTCCGGTTATGAGGGAGAGGAGCCCAAGGGAGCATGAAGTTGATGGGAGCGAAGCCCATGTCAAGATCATGGTACATCTCTGCAAACGTGGAGTCGAATCTGTCCCGGACTTCCTTTCCTTGCAGGGCACGCGACGCGGTATAGATCGTGATTTCGGCAATCGACTTGCACACATCGAAGATACCCTTGGGTTCCTGGAAGACGGGAGATTTCTCGACAAAACTCTCGACTTCGGCGGTAATCAGAGAGATGTAGGACCGAAGAGCCTCGGAAGTAAGACCGAACTTGACGAACTGTACGTTTTATTAGCAAGGTTGCTTCGCCTGCACCAGCTCTGTCATTTCACATACCTTCTTCTGCTCCATGAGCTTGGAGTTGGGGCAATCATACACAACATTGCGACCAAAAACGGGTGTCGTAAGCGGCGAGTAGACCTCCTCGGCGCAGACGTCTCGAAGCTTGCCGTTGAGAATAAATTCATTGCCTTTGGTGCCCAGGTAAACGGTGGTCTTTTTGCCCAGGAGAACGAAAGTGAAGATATCGCCGTACTATAATGCGAACGCAAATGAGAAACATGAAATCACGCTCAACCAGGGCAATGACCACGTACCTTTGCCCGACTTTCGAAGAAGAACTTGTATGGATCCATGCCATAGCTGATGGTGCTACCAACGAAGGGGAACCAGTGGAAAACCAAGGGAGGTTCATGGGGATTCTTGAATAAAATCTGCCGCAAGACATTGACGACGACCGACACACTGAACAGGGCCAACAGCCCTACAGAGGTGAGAACCCATAACGACTGGGTCGAGTGAAGCTCGGAGAGCTTCTCCAGAACGACTGCGAGAAGTCCCATGGCTGCAGTAAAAGGATAGGTGTAGTAAAGGAGAGAAAGAAAAGGGAGAGAAGAGTGTCTCTTGGTGGAGGCACTCACCAAGGCCTCACGGGAATTTGCGACAATGAAATGGGGTATTGTACAACTGGACCACGAAGTTGACAAGCAGAAGGTATTATTATTTATTATTATCGTGGTGGAAAGGGGAAAAAGTGTTATCTGGAGCAGGTCTCGACCGGTGTACGCAGTAATGTACGAGGTAATACGAATTGTATTGTATATTGTATGTATCAGGCACCGATACCCCTGTATGGAGCTATAATAACCAGAAGGGGCTGGGGATTTACCTAAGCTCCACCGATTGACCTTGCAGAGTAGATTGTAAATACAGTGTATTACAGGGACACGTTACGCACCGCCCCTGGATGGCGCAGCGAATAATGGCCACCTCAACTCTGATGACTACAATTTGCGGAATAGTTAGTTGTCTTGAGAGATCAAAAGAGAATTGATGAGACGGTTGACCTAAAAACCCCGGTATTTTACAAGGATTGCCCCTATGTCCCAGGTAGGAAACAGAGCGCAGGATTCTAGGTTCCGACATCACACCACTTTGCTTGATGGATTTCTGAACCCTACTTGATTGTCCGCGGAGGCTATGAACTTCGAAACTTGGCATCGCTTGATGAAGCAATATTCATTACTTCTATCATTACCAGCTATTCCTGACTGGAACACCTCCTACCTTTGGTATGATCAATCAGCACTCGACTACCATGATGATCCTGATCAGGTTGTGGAAGATTATACTCTTGAGGCAAGATATCCAGGACTAGCACCGTTTTATTGGGCATGGCAAAAGGTCTATGAAGACGCATTTGAGATGCAGGGCTGCCATTTGGGGTAGAGCCAGACCGTATTCACAAACTTGAATGAGCAAGTCAGTTGGGAAGTCGCAGGATTCCTGGTCGCCAGTTGGTTGGTACTGCAGGATACCGTTGAGGGTGTCGAATATGACCCTTCTGAGGTTGGCATTTATAATCTCACAAGAGAGACTTTGGCGGAGGTGACAGGGCAGTTTCTTGAGGATGAGAATGCCCTACTATCAGATGGCCCGCTCTTGTGGAATAGAGCATAATTTTCAAGTTGTCTACTTTCGTCTATTATTGCTTCAGTGATAGCAATTCTGTTCCCAACGTGGCAGATTCATGTATCCTGGTAAGCATTGGGATCATGAGGACATATAGGCTTTCTGAAGCACGTTACATTTCAATATATGGTAATTGAGAAGCGTAGTGAGCATAATGCAGGAGTATGTATAGTATTCAGTGTATGAATCACTGATGTCCAGTTGCACGAAGGCAATGTGGTCTGTCGATGAGCTGGTATTCTGTCCATTTGTTATGGCTCAAATGTAGTTAGACGCGGTCATGCCAAGGTCATAGAAAAGTATACAAAATGAAAGCAACCGCTAAATGAAAGGATAGGCTGCGACAGGGCAAAAACGAAGCTGGGAATTAGCATTCGGTATGATTAGGGACGATACGGTTCTGGTCAGTCGTACTTCTGCATATGTCAACTTAAACGGGGGTCATAATTAAAACATGCTGTATTCCTAAGCAGACCATAGACGCCATTTTTGACTCAACAAGTTCCCTAACACAATGTAAGTATCCCTTGGCTGATCATATTCCAACTGTCCCAATGCGAACAGGTAAACCCCAGTAATCCTCTCACACTGTCAATGGCAGCAGCAACAATGCTGGCTGTGCTAATTAAAAACAAAGGCTAAAAGTTGATACAAAGAGATGAAAAGAGAGGGTAGGAGAGAGCGAGAGTAAGAGTAAGAGTGTGTGGCGTCCAGAAAGCAATACCCGTCTATGGATAACGACTTGTTAGTTCTTGTTCAAAAAGAAGCGGGTCACCTCGCTCTCCAAGATTGGCAAAATCTTGAGGCGCGCTATTTTCGTCAGGGTGAGCTTCTGGTTGACTCTGATGAACGAGAACTTGAGAAGGTTGGTTAGAAACCCGTTTGCCGGCTTCATTTTTGTGGAAAATCTTCACAGGAGCGCCGCCTTCTTCCGCACGTTCACTGAATCGGATGTCATTCATGCTGCTGAGCAATGTTCGCTCGCGTTCAACTTTGCGCTTCGAGAAGTCAAGATTACCCAGAGCTCCAGTCAGCCCGTCCGTGCTATCAGTAAGACTGGAAGATTTTCCTAGAAGCCATGAATGTTCCAAGCATTCTTCCACCGTGATTCGCTGATCAGCATTAACCGTAAGCATCCTGTCTATGAGATCCAAGGCTGGGTCGCCCACGGAATCCCAATATGGAGATGGATAATCAAAACGCCCCATCTTGATCTGTTGGGCCATAGTATACGGATTCTGTCGCGTATACAACTCATCCGAAAACGGGGGAAAGCCACAAAGACAGATGTAGAGCACAACACCAAGGGACCAGATATCGACAGCCTTTGTGTATTGTCGATGGTTCGTGTCCTGCAAAATCTCAGGAGCAACATCTAAAAGACAATACTGGTAAGTATCCCGATATAGTTTGATTGAGGACGGAGAAGCTTACAGCTTGGTGTGCCGCATCTGTGAAGGCAAATTAGCGCTCTTGTCCTAGGGGCTCCAGGATTCACAACTTACAGTGTTGTTGTGAAGGAGTCTTCCCCGATTATCTTTGCGAGTCCAAAGTCACCCAACTTCACAGACAGCTTTTTGTCAGAAACGAGAATGTTCTCTGGCTTGATATCTCGATGAACAATCCCACGATCATGCTGGAAGTCTTGTTAGCGCATCTGTGGATTGCGACCTGGAGATTGTGTGCCTCACCAAGTACTTCAAACCCTCGAACAACTGCTTGAAAACGTGACGTGTCTCATCTTCTGACAAGTTCTGCTTGCTAACTATCAGGTTGAATAGTTCACCCTCCGAAGCAACTTCCATGACAAGATACATCCCGTCACTTTCGTCGAATGTGTCTTTGAGACAGAGAAGGTTCTCATGATTGACACTCATCAAAAGGGCTATCTCCTGCTGTAAGGCGTCCGCCTGCGATTTCTGGGAATCACCTGGGCGTTTCTCAAAAACTTTCACCGCGTACTGGGTTCCGGTGGCTCTTTCGGCACACAGGTAAACGGTTGCAAAATGCCCTTTTCCAAGTTGTTGGAGGATCCTATATTGTTGCCGGAAACCGTTTGTGTCCCTAGACTTCGGATACCTGAAAACAAAACGTGCTTCATTCAAAATACTAATCTCGTCGCTGTCCTCAAGCTCGCGATGCTTGTTTCGTCCAACGATAGCGTCGTTGACGAAGGTGCCGTTGCTGGAAAAATCTTGCAACATTGCGACAACATCACCCTTTTTGTTCTCCGAGAACAACATGAAGTGTCGATTGGATATTGTTGGGATCTCAAGGAGCACATCTGATCTCTTAGAAGGCACTCTCGACAGTAGACAGGATATGATAACCTACCGCATTCCGGGTGACGACCGATTAAATAACCACCAGGACGGCAGCTGCCTTTCTTTTCACTCTCGGAATCTTTGTCGTGCCCCTTGTCCCCACTGTTCCTGGGACCTTGGCAACTATCCCGCTTTGTGAGCGGAAGTGCACTGTGGACTGTGTCATCGAGCGGGATTAGGTAGCCCCAAACGCCCTCCGCATCCTCATCCTCCACTTCATCAGCAAATGCCCTTGGCGGATACACAAACTGCGAGAAAGCTTGTGTGTCCTCAGGTTGGGTGTCCTCGAGTGGCTCTGAATTGACTGGTGTTTGGTCGCGGATTTGGCTAGCTTCATCCGTTGGAGTAGCCGTTGTCTCGTTTCGAGCATCTGTAACGGTCGAACTTTGTCGAGTCACCGGCGTAGGTAGGTATTCTTGTTCGACTGGGGTGTCTTTTGGCTGAACTCTGGACGAGAGTCTCTCCGAGCGACGTGGCTTCTTCTGGTCTTGCGAATCTTGATCGGCACTGGCCTATGAGAACAAACAGATTCGTTAGCAGCTGTCAGACCAAAGTAAGCAAAGAATTGAGCCAATAATTACTCTGCCACGTTTCAGAGAACTCTGCTCATTTTGTGGCGCCATTTTATCTGGCCGTGCCTCGAGAGACAGAGGGGGGAAGAATATCGAACCCGCTCGGTACTAGATAAGCAAAGAAGAGCAGCAGATTGATCTTTCGGAATTGGAAACTGTCCGTAGCACTGGCACTTATTTCAGTAGCCGCAACATGAAGAGCTATACAGATCGTTTGCAAAGAGTCCCCAGGATGTGAATGGGAAGAGAATGGGGAAGGCTCGCTCTTTCCGTTGCGTCAGCCTTTGTCGGGGCGGATGCTTCCCAATCAAGTAAAGATGGAGTTCCGCAACGCGTGCCGGACTCCTCCTTCCTGTTAGTTATCCTTCGCGCAGAGTACCAGTAAAGTGACCGGAATACATTGCGCTTTATTGCGTTTGGAACTGGGGATATATTTATGCTCAAGGCGCCAGATAAATGTCAATCTAAGCATTAGATCTTATTTTTGGAAGTGACAAGTCTTCTAGAAGGTTATGTCATAGCTTTGGATAACTAACTAGTTATACAATAATGATTCCCTTCATAAACTGAATTCTCTTTGAATACCCAACAGTCGCCGCAAGGTCAATTCTCGATCAAATCGCAGGGAGAAAACGCAATAGTCAAGAACAAGCTGTCGCGACGCAATTTAAAGTATATAGTAGTTCAAGTGCACGTGGATCCGGCGGGGTCGATTAGTTCCAGGGGTACGGAGTACGGAAAGGAAGCTCTGAACCTCCATCGCCATTACCACCACCACGTCCTTAGGGATCCTCATCACGGCGTTGGTATATTATCCAAAGGTTCTCAACAGCGTCCTCTACGGCGGGTGATGATTGTCTATAATGGACGAGTAAGAAATTGTTATGTCTATCCCAAACAGTTTACATTGCTGACGACAATATAGCTTCTCGACAAACATCAGGCACTCCGCATTGGAGAAGCTTGCAAATTTAGCAGTCCAGGCATCGGCCGTTGACGAAGACACTGACATTGCGCGGCTAACAGAACAGTGTCAGCGTCGAAGCAATGAACAGCCTAATGGGTTACAGAATGGGACCCCGACATCGCGAGTACCTATGGTTCGTCATCAGCGCATTCCTTCTAACCATTGGAATGCAAAGCTGACCTATATAGGGTATCCGTGAATTAGATGTCCTCTTTTCTCTCTGCAAGGCTTCCTCTTCAGTGAAGGAACTGAGTCACGCATCCCGATTGGTTGCGCAACTCTCCCAATACCTTCCTGAATCCCACAGCCAGGTCTTTCGCGCCTCGCCCTTCCTGCAGAACGTCAAACCATCTCCATGGGAGTCCCTTACTTATAATCTTGCAACTGCTCTGCTCTCTCTGGGGGCGAACTTCCCATCGTTACGTGAAACCGTCTTCTATGCAGTCAACGAATACCTATACAGTTGTGCGGAAGCTATCGATACTGCGAATGCCGTTCAAAGCCGCGACCCTGCAACGTATAACCATGGCGCTGCGCACGGATCCGTGAACATATTATCTATTACTGTTTCACTGGCTGGCTTTTTGGAGGCCTCGGCAGTTCAAACTTCTTTCTGGACTGCGGGTGAACAACTGCAGATTGTTGAACATTTACGATCGATGCTTTCAGAGAAGTTGATGGTTACTGTTGAGACTGCTTCTTCTACTGTTCGCAATGCCAATGCAATAGATCCTTTTTTTCGAGAATGGAGAAAGTACTCCCGGCGCTACGCTGCCCATGGGCGACCCCTGGGGGCCATACTCCTGCAAGAAGGACTAATGCGCTTTGTCAAATCCTGCGCATTGTCTCTTATTGGCCCTCAAGAATCGTCTGAGGATGAGCTTCTTGATGAATACATGAACGGTGTAGGCATCGCTAGGAGTCACGATGATGCTGAGATTTCTCTTATCGAGTGTGTGATGAAAGTCGCCAGTGATGAGATCCATCTTCTGGAGGACAGTTTTGATTATTTACAGCTCGGCTCTCCGTGGCAGCAGCAACTTACATTCTCCGTGAAGGCTCTTGCACTGACAGCGTTTCTCAACTGTGTTGTCGTGGGCGGAAATGTCGCGAGTAGCGATACTCTCCTCTCATGGCTGGAAGATACATTGACAGATCCGAACCAGATGTCATGTGTCGAGCTCGGAAAAGCTGCTTTGAGAAGCGTTGCGATAATTGCAAGGATGTCACCGAACAGTGCATCTGCTGGAACTCGCTCCCTTTTGAGGTTCATCGTCCAAGGAGGTGTGCCAACGGGGCCTATTATCGCCGTGGCTGCACGGTGTCTCGCCCAGGTCTTGAGTATCCTTTCTCAGGACGCCGTTATCACGACGCTATACTCGCTAGGAAATGTATTGAGTGCAGGCTCAAACACCGATAGGTCGTGCCAAAACCCAACTGTGGCAGGTGCGGCTGGGCAAACTGCGCCTCTGGTGCCTTTCCCACAACCCGGAGACCCGAGTGTGATTTCTCTATCGGTCAACGGAGAGGAAGACAACATTCCTCATAGAAATGTCATCCATGCCATCGTGACAATTGCCAAAAGCTGCAACGACGAAAAGATCAGTGCCCTGGCGCAATCAATGCTACTGCAAAAGATGGGGAAAGTAAATTCTGCGGTAGATGCTTGCCTTATTCAGGAAACAGCTGCACTGGCTCCAAGCACTGGGCAGGCCGAATTCCAACTTTTGCTCAAATTTTATGCCCGTGTCTACCGTGATGGTATGGCCAGGGGTGGTAGCAATGTGACAGAAGCAGTTCAAAGCGCAATGTCTTACCTCTCCATTACTCTGAGAAGATGTTCCCCCCTTTACAAAATTTACCTGATCCATTTGCTTGAGAGTATCGTGAACAAGGGCGATGCTACGGATATGGAAAACGAGCGACAGAAGGAATTTACGTTGACGCCTGGTGACATTGTCCCCCTTCTCAAACCATTGGCATTGCTTGTGTCCTCCGAGGGCAAAGCCGTAGCGGATTCCTCGGAATCTGAGGATTATGACGAGGACGTATCGTCTATGTTTCGCGACGTCTGGTTCAATCTTGCAGTCCATGGGATATCAGCCAACTCAACTGTTGCTCGAGACCACATGAGAGAATTGCGTCTCCTTGCGAAACATTCTCCGCCTCTGGTTCCTGAAAGTCGCATGGAAATGTTAGAAAGCGATGTGGAGCTCAACACAATTCTTCGACGTGGAATGGGTCCTCAACGCATTCTGGAGCAAAAGAAGACGCTGATCGCCGAGATTCCCAATCATGAACCTGAAATAAAACGGTTGGATTATCCAAGGGTGGTTTTCCTGAATGCTGCTTTGCTGCTCGAAAGTCTACGGGCATCTTCGGGGAACTGTGCTAAGTTTCTCAGCTATTTCCGTGACCCGGCGCTGGCTACCGTCGAAATGGCTAGTTGCATGAACGCGATTGCGGAAAAGGTTGTCTCTTGCTACCTCACAATGACACTTTCCGGAAAGCACGAGGAATTCTCGGTTCCCTTCTTGTCCAAGCAATTGGCTGGTTTCTTCGTGGCGTGCTGCCATCGTATTGAACGGGTGCAAAATGTCGCAGTGCTCTCAGCAAATAAGATCATAAGAGAATGTCCTTCTGCTCTATGTGAAAAAAATTCTCTATTTGCGTTGCTCGAGCTCCTGACCGTCATGTGGTCTTCTTGTCTCGAAGAAGATCTTGATGAATTTGAATGGAAACCATCCTTTACGTCTCCCAGAGGAATCGTGAAAGTCGACCTACCTGATAACTATGGCTTTAGAAGAGGGACTTTGGAAATGTTTCACGAGCGTGCCAAGGCATGGGTAGCCACAGTGATGGATATAGCGCCGTTAGATGTCAAGGGCTTGCTTCAGGTACGTCCCTGTCAATTATCCATTCATTGGAAACACTTTACTCATAATGATATTAGACTTATCTATCCGAGTCGGAGGACGATGGTGGATACGGGCATATTTCGTTGGGTCGGTCTTTCGCACTCGATATGGGCTCGTTTATTCCTCAGAGCGATCGGCGACTTGGTGAGTGCTTTGCAACGTGTTAATCTTAGCCCACTGTCTCTAACCTTTTTTTTGCATATAGGGTCGATTGAAAACTATGGAATTAACAGGGTCAACGTCGCCTCCGAATTCGTTGCCCAATACAGCTCACGACAAAAATACCGGTACCCTGTCGTCGTACCTGCGCTGGAAAGCTCGGGGTTCCATTTTGGTGGGGATAACGGTATGTGCTTTGGTGTCTCCTGCTTTACCAGCCTTCTCTAACTCAGCGGTGCTCCAGACCAACACGCCACTATTCGCCCGTCAGGGCCAGCTGAAAATGTCGAGAACCTACTTTCCCGCCTATACGAACAGGTCAACACTGGGAAAAACGTCTCCTTCATTGAGGTTCGAGATGTATTGAGACAAGCCGCTGCCATACTTTGCAGCGAAACCAATGCTCAGCCCTCAATAGTCCACTATTTCGTTGTTTTACCGTTCCAAATATTCTCAAAAGAATCCATGAGCATGGGTGTCTCTCTTTGGCTTGGGACTATGAATGAGAATCCTGAAATTGAGTCGAGGATCATGGTCGAGGTCATGGAAGGCTGGGAAGAGACAATACGGCGCAAAAAGGGATTGTTTAACCCCTCTTTCGAGTAAGTATTCCGGTTTCTTTGATTTCCTTAGGGGTGAGTACGCTTGGTACTAACAGCAATAGTTATGTTGATCCACTTTACGCAAAAATCGAGCTTCTGCCGACGGATAAAGAGCTTCTACTCAAAAAGCAACAAAAAGCCCAGAACATTCTGTCACCTCATTCCCATGTTCTTCAGTTCTTTGAGAGCCACTTCAGTGCCGTGAGGCTGGGAAAGCCTCAAAGTAGGCGATTGTTCTGTCACCTGATCGGGAGAACGACCGTGGGACTCTTAGAGACACACGGTCACCCGCTGGCCAGGGAGATTCATTTCCGCATCATCTTGTTTGGTCTAAAGGTTCTGAAACATTTCAATTCGCAGGACCAGGTCGCTCCATGGAAACTCAAGGATCAGATTCTTTCAGCTGCTCTAAGCTGGTTCAAGTACCCGCCTAGGTATGTTATCATTCCGCTGGGCCCGGAAGGAACATTGCTGATACATGGTATTCCAGGTGGTCATTTGGTGGTAATCGACTGCAGCTCAAGGCCGAGGACAAGATACTCGATGATGTTGCCTCGGCATTGAGAAACGTTGCCGGTATCGCTAGTCAAACTCATGGACCATACAAGTCGTTGCACGCGAAGCAAGAACTTTTACAGATGTTCATTGAAAATGAACGATCACGTTTGAAAGTTTGGCTATACCCCCTAGAGCCGGAACGGAAGCATTTTATGGGCCCTGCTTCGGGAGGTAAAAATGTTGCAGAGGTATGTCACTGCCTACCTCTTACTCCTTTTCGTCTGTCAGGGCGCACGCTAACTCTATCCATAGGAAGCTGCGTCTCTCTTGTGGCTGGCCTGGGAAGAAAACCCGGGGTTGGCTATTCAACTTGCTGCTCGCCTTTCATCCGCAAAATTGAGAAGCGATATCCGCTGGCTACTGCTCAACTTCCCAGAGAAGGCTCTTGATGAACCAAATGGCTTAGAAATTATGTTTGGCTCATCATTGCCTCCGGACGTCTCGTCACAACTCAAGGTTCGTTTGGTGTTCTTCTCAAGATCAAGGCTTCAATCGCTGACCACAAGCAGTATTTGCTGTACTGGGCCCCTGTCAACCCTACTGAAGCTCTCACGTACTTCTTGCCTGCATATGGCAACCATCCGTTCATTTTACAATATGCCATGAAGGCGTTGGAGAGTCACCCAGTAGACGTCCGTTTCTACTTTGTCCCACAGTTGGTGCAGGCCCTCAGGTATGATACACTGGGCTATGTGGAGCGCTACATCCTCGAAACGGCAAAGCAGTCCCAGCTATTCGCACATCAGGTGATATGGAATATGAAGGCAAATTCATACAAAGACGAAGATGCTCAGGTGGTAAGTACAAAACAACTGACAACCAACCCCTACATATTTGACTCGTTCGTTAACGCTGTAAAATAACAGCCGGATCCCCTCAAACCAACCTTGGACAAGTTCATGGAAGCCTTGGTCTCAAGCTTCTCCGACGAAGAGCGAGAATTCTATGAAAGAGAGTTCTCGTTCTTCAATGATATCACCGGTATATCCGGGAAACTTCGTCCCTACATAAAAAAGAGTAAACCCGAAAAGAAGGAAAAGATCGAGGAAGAACTTCGGAAGATCAAGGTTGAAGTTGGTGTCTATCTTCCAAGTAATCCGGATGGTGCCGTTGTTGGAATAGACCGCAAATCCGGCAAACCATTACAAAGTCACGCAAAAGCCCCATACATGGCGACATTCAGAATTCAAAAGACAAGAGTCAAGTATGACGGACCGGGCACTCCTGATGCTTCAGGTGCTCCTACTTCAAACCAGCAGCAATTGACTGGGGCCCAAGATTCCACGTCAGATTCGAACATGGAGACCTATGATGTCTGGCAGTCAGCCATCTTCAAGGTCGGTGACGACTGCCGTCAAGACATGCTGGCTCTGCAGATGATCGCCGCATTTCGGAGTATCTTTTCTAGCGTTGGTCTAGATGTATGGGTATTCCCGTACCGAGTTACTTCCACCGCTCCTGGCTGCGGAGTTATTGACGTTCTTCCGAATTCGATATCTCGTGACATGCTTGGTCGCGAAGCGGTAAATGGCCTTTATGATTACTTTGTCTCTAAGTATGGAGGGGAAGATTCGATCCGGTTTCAGGAGGCGCGCACGAACTTTGTCAAAAGTATGGCTGCGTATTCCTTGATAAGTTATCTGCTGCAATTCAAGGATCGTCATAACGGGAATATCATGGTCGACGATGCTGGCCACATCATACATATCGATTTCGGGTTCTGTTTCGACATTGCTCCGGGAGGTGTACGCTTTGAGCGCGCGCCTTTCAAGCTAACGTCCGAGATGATTGCCGTAATGGGCGGTATCCCTCAAACACATACCAATGCATCCGGAGCAGGCTCGCACCACATCACTAATACGCAGCCATATCGGTGGTTCGAATCCCTGGTGGTGAAGGCCTTCCTCGCTTCGCGTCCGCACTGCACGAAGCTAACCCACATTGTGTCGTTGATGCTTGACAGTGGCCTGCCGTGTTTCAAGCCTGATACGCTAAAGAACTTCCGCGACCGGTTTGTGCTTGAGAAGAGCGAGAGAGAAGCGGCTGAATTTATGCGAGAGCTCATTCGCAAGTCGTACATGAACATCTCTACTAAGGGCTACGATCAGTTCCAGCTATTGACCAACGGCATCCCATACTGATCTGACTGGCAGAAGATACTTCTGCACAGCATTCCTTAGCGGAAGAGAAGCTAATCTGTTTCATTAGTCGACCCAAAAGACAATCGGTTTGGGTCGATGTAAATACTTAAATTATACATAGTTTCTTTCTGTATTTTCTATAATAATATGCTGCATGTACAGTGATAGATTCGTCGTTTTCCACCTGCGACCACCGGAAAGGAAATAGTTGGTAGAGACCTTTGCCATACAATCTGCCCAGAGGCCGTGGAACTGGAAGAACTAAACAGATAGTTAGCGTGCAGGGCTTTCGACACTGAACCGTTCGCTACCCACAAGTCACCAAGCCCTCTTCTACTGTTTGATGGCCTCAACCTCAATCTCAATTTTCATAGCTGGAAATGCTAATTCAGGGACTGCGAGAGCGGTCCAAATCGGCCGGTGCCCTGGAATACGCTCCCAAAGCCTCTTGACAAAACGGTCATAGGAAGCGCCCATGTCAACGTGGTAAGAACGAATCAAATAAACATCGTCCCACCCACGCAGTCCTGCAGCCCGAAGCACTTTGTCAACGTTCTGAAAAGCAAGATCGACCTGGCCGTGTATATCGCTAGCGTCCAGGGCTCCTGATCCTGTCCAGCCCCCTTGACCGGAGCATTTTACAGTGTTACCGAGGATGACGGCTTGGGAGTAGTGGCATAGATCGCTATGCTTCTGGCCGGCGCCTTCTTCATTGACATACGTTAATGACGACATTTTCGACAACGCTTTCTCGCAGAAAGAGAAAGAGGGAGGAATTAGTAATATCAAGGATGTAAAAGGAGACTGTAGACGATAAATGAGAATCACGACCAAGGTTAACGCCATAATTTATAGATGAGGTATTTGGAGACGTTTAGGGCACCTCCAACCGACTCCCGGATCACTAATATACGCTAGGAGAGCAACATCCAAAACCTCCAACATTATATGATAAAGACTGGTCGAGGACAAGAACTTTTGATCACATAGCGTCAATAAATTATGGATCCATCTTCAACCGGGCAGACCCCGGAGGTTACTCCAGTTGGCAAAAGGAAGCCCCGGACCTGCCCACATTGCAAACGTCACTTCCGCCGCCATGAACACCTCCAACGGCATATCCGAACTCGTAAGTACTACCAATACGCAACGCAAAGAAAATGTTTCGAACAAGAACTGAGGGTCTTTAGACACGAATGAGAAACCGTATAAGTGTACATGCGGTGCATCCTATGCCAGGCGTGATCTCTTAAAGCGCCATCAGAGCATCGCACATTCTCCAAGCACTTTATCGACAACCCCGGTGACCGGCGATGGTAGCGTCGCCCAAGAGAACGAGTCACGTAATGTTGATGCTGCTTTTATCGAGCCAATTTCTTGGGGTCTTCCTGGTACTCGAAGTACCCCCGCTGAGCCCATAGAGCAGCAAGGGCAATTGACAGAATATCAGTCTGCGGGTATGAAGTCTAGCTTTGATACTAATACTAATGCAAACAGAGCTAACCTGCTGCAGGGGATTCGTTACTACTTGATGCGTATGATCCTTTGCAAGACTTTGAATACTTCAGTCACAGCCTAGGTCTTACATCCGACTGGGCCCTGTCATCAGAATTTGACATCTCACGGATCATGGTTAGAGAGCCTATATACCATCTCGTGCCCACTTCTTCTGTCAGTCATGAACGGCAAGAACATTCTGCTTCTTCACAACATAACCATCCTCTTACTCAGTTTCCGGTCGAACGGGATGCTGTTGGTAAACCTCACGTTTTCCTAGCCACCTTCATGGTAGAAACGGAATTCTGACATAAATATAGGGGAATTTGGTGTCTTGACTTTCCCTGTTCTCAAGATCACAGAGGAACATCGAAGCCACCTGCTCCAGTCGCTGGTGCAATTTCAAACCACGGTAACCAATTTCGTCATGCCATCGTCCCACTCTTTAACACGGTTTGTAAATGCATTTTTTGATGGATTCTATCCTCATGCGGCAATTGTACATATTCCGACCTTTAAGCTAGACAATTGCGAGCCGGAAGTTATCCTATCCATGGCCGCACTTGGAGCTCAATACCGACATGAACATCGAAAGGGAACTCTACTATTCTACGCAGCAAAGGCGATTCTCCAGGACAAAGCGCTAGAAAGAGAAAGGAAAGCGACTAACCGAAGTCTTTCATCGCGTCCCACCGAGCCTTTGACAGGCTCTAGCCACGGGGCGGATAGTCATAATGACCCTTCGTACAAGGAACTGATGCGCGAGGCGCGGTGCACTCTTTACCTCATATTCTTCGCAACATGGCACCGCGAGCCAGACATTGTGCGAGAAGCATTCAACCTCCAGAGCTTTCTAGCAAGGTGCGTGAGAGAAAGCCGCCTTGATGAGGACGAAGAAGCTCTGCTAAATGTCACCAAAAACTGGCATGTCTGGGTGGAACAGGAATCTCACAGGAGAATCAAGTTGTTTTCCTTTGTTTTTCTCAACCTACAGAGTATAGCATTCAATGTGCCCCCGGTTATCCTGAGCGATGAAATAAATCTTCGTCTACCATGCTCTTGCATGGAATGGCTTGCTCCTTGCCACGAAAGGTGGTCTATGGTTCGTGGCCCAGGCCATCAAGAACAGATGCGTTTTCAAGATGCTCTCGCTCAGTTGGCCCGGGTTTCCCGAGATCCAAACTCTATCGACTCACAACCGGTTCCATCTACATTGGCCAACTATATTCTACTGCATGCTCTTATTCAACGGATTCTGCTGATGTATCGGGCGTTCCATTTCAATAGCGATGGAGAACACCCTCTACTGGTCTCCCAAAAGGAAGAAATTCGGTAAGAAATACATATTATCCCTTGCATTTCAATTACTAACCGATCCAGGAACTTCCTACGTGCATGGACCTCCCAATGGCAACGAGCACCTGAATCAAGCCTTGATCCTAGGAATCCAAACGGCCCTGTACCTTTCACGTCAACAGCATTACTTGGTCTAGCATATATCCGACTTGCTTTCAATATAGGCTCATACGGAACATTGCAGTCCCGAGATCCAGAGCAGATTGCGAACAAACTTCTGGGCTTACCTCGTTTACCTGGCGGTCCTCATCTTCTTCCAGCAATATTGCATGCGACACATGCCCTGAGTATACCGGTCAAATTGGGAATTAGTTTTGTTTCTCGAGGCCATACATACGTATCGAGTATACAGCACTCGTTTTGCGGAATGGAGTTTGCAGTTTTTATCAGCAAATGGTTGCATTGTATTTCTGAGTGTCGAACCAGGAGATCTCTTGATGGTATGTATTTACCATTTGCATGCGCTTTGTTCATTGGACCAAGGTATATTGACTTGCTCCTAGAAAATGAAATCCGCTTGATCAACTGGATAAGCGACATAGTCGAAGAGGGCAGAACATCAGGAGACGAAGATCTGTATCCTGGTCCTGCATCGCCATCCGACTGCCTTCACTTAGCCTACGCCGCAGTAAAACTGTGGGCTCGCCTTATAAAGGGAAACGAACAATGGGCGATATTGAGAATCATCGGGGAAAGCCTTGACATATATGCTGATCTTTGCCGAGAAAAATATGCATCGATTCAAAGTGGCGCATAGTGATTAGAGGCGACCGTTGGAGGTTTTTGGAGACACTTCTACAGAAGTGAGCAAACACCTCCAAACGTCTCCATATAAGAACAGTAGAATCTTCTTGATATTGATAATCAAAAAAAATATTTGAAATCAACAAATTTGTTGGTATCCATGTTTGAAAATGGCTCATTTAAGATCGCATCTGTCAATTGTCCTGTCGAGGTCAAACACTCTCCAGGGTAAGTAGTTCCGTCGCTGCTTTGTATAGAGGATATATTGACTATATCCAGAGCATAAAACGGGATGGCCAATCTCATCCGTGACAGCGTTGCAGGGCAATGTCTACGCCTGGTGTGCAATCCAATCTGGCTACGATACGATGAAGAACGAAGTGACTACGATCACCAATGCAAGAAGTTCCAACATAAAAACACCATTCTGGTAGACTGGTATTCGGACGACAACAAAGAAAACCCGCAGAACTGGTCCCAATCAAGTCGCAGACGCCAGCAAGAAGCGCCGCAATGAGGAACCCTACAAGATGACTCTCACTCTGGCTCGGCGTGGTGAACGATTTCGTCGACCAGTACGCCGTCAAAGAAGGCATTTGTGGCGTTTGCAATTGGCGCTTATAGCTTTGTGGTGTACATGGCAGCGCCGATATATACGCCGAGCGAGAATGTGTTTCGAGAGGAGTTTGGAGTTAATGGGGCAGAGGATTCGTTGGGACTTGCCCTTTATGTGTATGCCAATTTGTTTACCCGCATCCATAGCAGTATGAGCTGATGAATTCAACCTAGGATACGGCGCAGGCCCCCTCTTCTTCAGTACCCTTAGCGAAGTCCCCCAGATCGGCCGCAACCTCCCCTACGCCCTAACCTTCGCCCTCTTCTGCATCATCAGCATCCCAACCGCCATAGCCCCTACGGCCATCTACTTTTACATCTTCCGCTTCCTGCAAGGCTTCTTCGGAATTCTCTGTCTAGCCACCAGGGGCGCGTCAATTGCAGATGTTTACTCGTCTGATGTGCTCCCGCATGCAATGACGAGCGGGGTGCTGTGTATCTTTTGTGCGCCTGCAATCGGGACGCTAGTTTCGAGTTTTGCGATTCCAGTTCTGGGATGGCGGTTCTCGATGTGGGAGATATTGATTGTTGCTGCGCCGATTTTGGTCCTTCTCTTGTTATTCTCGCCCGAAACGAGTCCAGAGACGATACTTTATCGACGCGCGAGAAGATTAGAATAATTGAATAGGGACAACAACGACAACGACAACGACAATAAATACAGAACATCAGCCGAAATCGCGCAGGAAGGCATCTCTTTCCACAGAGTCATGCGCGAATCCCTTCTCGTCCTCTCAATAATCACCTTTCTTGACCCGGCAATCCTGTTCCTCAACTGCTACACCTCCCTCACATACGGGATCTACTATTCCTTCTTCGAGGCATTTCCCATCGTCTACCAGGGGATGTATGGATTCAACCTCGGACAAATGGGAGCCGCCTTCCTCGCCATCGTGGTGGGAACAATCATCTCCTTCGTGATATACAACATCTACATCCACAAAACCCACGTCCCGAGATCCCGATCCCAAAAAACTCCCACCAAACCCGAAACCGTACTAATCCCCGCGCTCTTCGCCTGCTCTGGCCCCTCCATCGGACTATTCCTCTTCGGCTGGACCGCATGCCCAGGGATCCACTGGATCATGCTCACGATAGGGATCGTCATCTACCCAGCCTGCGTGCTCATCCTGATGCAGTGCGTGTTTCTGTACATCCCGGGTTGTTATCCGCAGTATGCGGCGAGTGTGTTTGCGGCGACAGACTTTACGCGGAGTGCGTTTGCGTGCGGTGCTGTTATCTTTTTGCGGCCGCTTTATTTGAATCTGGGGGTTGGGAGGGGATGTAGTCTTTTGGCGGGGTTAACGATTGGGTGTGTTTTGGGGATTTATTTGTTGTTTCATTATGGGGAGGCGTTGGGGAGGAGGTCGAGGTTTGTTGCTAAGTGGTGATTTTTTGACTACAATGAGGATAGAAAGTATAGATATAGACAGAGAGCGTTTTCATATAGAATATGAACTTTTGTTGATAGACTGAACGAATCGATATATTTAATGCATATGGCATGTTTGGCATGGAGAAATATATATAACCACCACAAGCTACTCTTGGATTTCGGAGTTGGAATGAATTCAGATACCAATGACAAGTCAAGGTATTTGCTGTTTCTCATTCTGAAATCAATGTTCATATACATTCTGCTTATTGGCCGTCTGGTAAAATATAAAACATGAAAAGACAGTCTGACCAGCAGGGCTGACATAAGAAGTAGAAAGAAATATGTGGAAATAGAGCCGCAAGCGAAAGAAGAAACCAAACGCATCATCAGTGTACCCATACAAATCAGAAGATGCCCGTAAATCGTATCGAGTTGCCAGATAACTCCGCTAATCCCAGAACCTCGCTGTAAACCACATGTACCGTGTTCGCCAAAATCGACATCGGTGCAGAGCTGCTTGAGCCGACCGTGTCTGTTAGAAGGGGAAAGAAAGGAGAAAAGCACTTTTCCCGACGCTTTTCCTTATCCCAGCGTGAATCAGATAGAAATGAGAACGAAATAGAGGACGTAGATAATTATACATCAGTCCATGAAGTCCCCTCGTAGGATCTTCTCCTGGAAGAAGTCCGGCTTTTTGTGCTTGGGCTGCCGTGGGATCTCTCGGACGGGTTGCTCCATCGTGGCGATCTGAACCGCACGTTCCTGTTCCCGTTGACGGTTCATGTTGGCTGCATTCTGGTTCTGTTGAATAGCGCTCAGGGATGGAGCACGCTCGGCCCGGGTGCGTAGAGCTTCAGACCAGTTGAAGCGTTCGTCTGTTCCCAGCAAGTTAGCCAAGTGATCAGGGACGTCAAAAGAATCAGGATTCGTACCATTGTTGACGCTTCCCCTCCGAAAATCACGCAGCGCCTGCGCACCATAAGAGACCCGCCGGGCGAAAGGAGAGGTAGGAGTGGCGCCAGCCAGTTCACTTTCTTCATTGATCGAGTCCTCAGAGGAGGTGGGGTTGGATCCCACCGAGCTCGAGACACTACCGCCTCTGAAGTGTCTGCCGTTGAAAGGAGAGGTCTGAGTGGGAGAGCCCGCTAGACCAAGGGTGGTGATGGAGAGTCTCCGCTGCTGAGGAGCGGTAGAGGTGTTGGCAGCGTTGGAAGCTGGAGGACTACCAAATGAGAAGGAGGCGAGAGATGCCCGGCGTTGGTGGGAGGAGGGGACGGAGATGGGAGAAGTTGCGCGGTCGTTGGACATCATGAACATTCAGGTTGAATTGTGTCAATTGTGTGTTTGGTATTCAGTTGAAGACGTTTTATAGAACGATCTCAGACAGTGACGTCAAAAGACAATTCGAGGGATGAGGAAAGACAGAAGATGAGGAATGCGGCGTAGGGAATGCACGGGAGAATCTGGGGTAACAGTTAGCTGTAATTCTAGTACCTTTGATGGTCCAGCGGCGATATAGACAGAAGCAGCCATGGTTTGCTGGACTGAATGAGGACACTCACCTGTTGCCCAATATGGCCAATAGATGGATTGAAGCCGACAGAGTCTCCCTAGACCAGATAGGACGGATGGAGCTCTGGGGTTCGGGGTAGAGTACGAAATAGAACCAACGGACAAATGAATAGTCGTAGTAGAAGAAAGAATGTGCTGGTAGTATTGGGGATAGTATTATGAAAACAAGTCACAAGAATAGAATGGAGAGTAGAATAGAGGACAGAGAGAGTGATGGGATCATAAATAACCTCGTCTACCGTCACCCCACAATTACATAACCCCTCTCTGCGATGGGTCTAGCCCCTTTTGGCTCACCTCAGGCCACCGCCGGGGGTACTTACATATATTCCTATCTATGATGTGATACTGTATGCTCTTGATAGAGCATTCCCCTCCCTTCTCGTCCATCAAGCTCTATATCCCTCAATGACCAGTCTATAATCATTCTCCCTGCCCTGAGACTACTCTATACTGTGTACTCTTGACTCTATCCAACTGCTAAGCTTCCTATTGGAGCACCCCCGGTCCTCCGGATCACCATCGCCCAATCCCTGGGAGCGGATTCAACCAATCAGAGCCCGCTGATCGCTGTTGGCCACGACGCTTCCCCGCATTTCCCGTTGCGGTTACAGCATCCCAGGATAACTACCAGTAATACTATGGGTGTAGATAGGCATAACACTAGCTTATAGGTCAACTCAGAATCACCATGTCAAGAGACAGATAGACTTCGTTCTAAGCATGTTGGGGTCATTCATATCAGGCATAGTTCCCCGTGCGCAGTTACTCCATCCAGACCATATGATGCATAGACACACACACACACACCAATAACTGATCGTCCGATGGTCAGACCATTCTAGCCATGGTCCTCCATGTCAAGTTACATCAAATGCAACCCACCAACAGGCACATATTCGTACTCCTGCACATGGTAGCGGTACTTCTGGAGACTTGCAAACACACCCACACACCCACCCACACCCATGAAACCGCCAAAGTCAAGAGAACCAATTTCATTCTTCACGATAGATATTCCGTCTAGAAACCATATACATATCTTCCATAGACCATGCATATTCCGTGTACCAAGTTCTATCCGTTCTTTGCCTGGTCGGGTACCCATGTCACTTCACTGTACTTGTAGAAGTCCCAAAGAGTCAGATGGCTCAAGATTAGAGAATGGCAGGCGTGGAGCAGAAATTGCATGGCAAGAACCAGGAGGAGCATGGAAGACCCGGAGATTCCCGTTGGGTAAGGGATATGAGGTCTTTGATGCAGAGCTTCTTGGAGTGGTTCAAGCCCTCCAGGTAGCACAGAAGGCGGGAGATCAGAGACCAGTCACTATCCTACTGGACTCCCAAGCTGCCATTGCAAGGCTGCAACATACCCAGTCAGGGCCAGGTCAGGCGCTGGTGACCCAAGCACACACTATCCAGTGGGTCCCGAGACATGCAGGGGTAGAGGGAAACGAGAGAGCTGACCAGGCAGCAAATAGGCCTGCAAAGACAGGATCAAGAGAGATCTCACTGGCCTTTGCCGGCAGAGCCCGGACGGAGGCCATTGCAGCACAGAAGCAGAGATGGCCTGCCAGGAAGCTTGGCCAGCAATCCCAACAGGGCCGAAGAACCTACAGGCCACAGAGGAACTGGCGACTTGACCCCTCAGCTGCAGTGGCTCCCAAACACTTGGCAAGCCGCTATTTTCAACTGAAGTCAGGACATGCCGCCATTGGGACATACTTGCACTGGATTCAGGCCCAGGAAGACGCAACTTGTCAAGGATGTGGGTCGTCAAGGGAGACAGTACACCATCTTCTCTTTGAATGCCGGCAATGGCAACACCAACGAAACAGGCTCTACAAGGATTTGGAGGCAGACGGGGTTATGAGACCCACCATTGCAGAGGAGCACCCACAAGGACGACTTCTAGGGGAGCCTAGAGCTACCAGGGCGCTGCTACAATCCCTAGCCAACACCAGCATAGGTCTGCCCCAGGGGCATCTACAGCGGGCGGCAGAAAGAGCCTGGAAAGACGAGGAATGGGGACTGGAAGCATTGGAGGAAGCCAGTAGAACAGGAGAAGGGTAGTAGGGAGGGTAGCCTAAACTGACAGTCAGCCTAGGCCACACCCACCCCGCTCCGAGAACACAAGGAGAGCACTCTGCTCAAAAGCCCTGCGCATACAGGCGGTTTGGGGCGAGGAAAAGGATCAGAAAGATGATAGAAGGAGGTCTGCCTCAGAAACTCACAGGGACAAGAGGCCGCAGGCTAGCTGCAGGCCTTGGGCTCATGGAAAATGGTCTGTCATAGCTTTAGGGCTCGATATGGACAATAAACTTGATTAAATAATAATAATAAGCCCCAAAGTGGCGGAATCCAATCTGCTCTTTCTCTTATTTTCATCCATTTCATCTTTTTTCGTTATTTTCTTATTGTAATTGCGTTGTGGTTTCATTTTGTCAATATCAATTTGGAAGCCGGTACAAAGACGTAATCGCCCCCGACGATGGAAGGTGAAAAAGTTCTACTAGCTGTGCTCCCACCCTGGGCTCAATCTCTGTGCCATCCCGGGCGATTTTTACCCCCCGGTTGGCATTCCATGGATTGCGTAGTCCTCGCGTGCGATAAAACGGTACTTTCACCGTGGACAGCCATTGGATCCGGAATGGTCGTCCAATGGCCTGACTTCCTGCTGCTGCTGTAGTAGTAGCGGTAGTTGTAGTAGCATCTGCCGTTGCTGCATCTTCCGTAACGGCTGTGGGCCCGCCGACATTCTTGTCGCCGTCGGCATCTGTATCCGCATCCACCTCTGCAACCCCATTGGGAGTTGCTCCTGTTACCCCTGCTAGAGCTGCGTCATCTTCCTCTTTTTCTCCGTCTCCTTCTTTTTCTCCATCATCTTCAGACGATATGTCGGCTTCCCAGAAGATGGTGCCCCGAACAGGGTCATTGATAATCCGACCACTGCGGGCGGTGGACGAGGCTTGCGTCAGAGTCACGCTGGGCTCTTCCGCTTCCGTAGCAATATGATTGGGCCGACGAGGCATTTCCAGGGCCAGCTTTTCATCCTCCTGAATGGGCGACACCATCCGGGCGTATCCATAGTATTCCCCGGACTTGTTGGCTGAAAAGATGAGGTATACATTATCCGCGGTCTATCGGAAATTAGTGCAATGCCACTAAGAAGGGAAAAAGACAAGAGAGAGAGACAGAACTCACCTCATACGCTAGATTCAAATTGACCTCATTATGGGTCTGTGTCGCCCAAATACTGCTCTGCCGGCTGCTCTCCAAATCTTCCACCGTCATACTCTTAACAATGAAATACCGATTGGGCACCTTCTCATCAGGGGGCGGAATCGGAAAGTCCATAGTCGCAATAGCCGCCTTGTCATTTTCCCCGTTCTTCGCAGCTGCGATGCTTGCAACATCGCCCGAATTTTGCCTGGACTCTGCCGGACGCGCATTGGGTCGTAGTCGGCAAACCAAACGGCAGCCTTGAAATCGGGAATCGTGGAATTTCTCCTGTGCTGCAGAACAGGCAGCTTCTGTTTTATAATTGATAAATGCGCAGTGGCTTCTCGAGATGAGGAATACACTCTCGATTTGGTCGGAAACGCCCTGAGAGAAGTACTCTTTGACGTCTACAATGCTAATCCCATGAGGCAAATTGCCAACCCATAGCGCAGGGCCCGATTGTTTTGGTGTTCTCCGTGGTCCTCCGGGCGTGGCAGCCCGAGTGGCAGTGGATGATGAAGGCGAGGTTGTCTCTGAAACTGCATGTCAGTAAACAGAGATGAATCAATAAACACAGAAAAAAACAATATCCGTGCGTGAATGGTGATGTACTTACCAGATGCGCGAGAGTTCGACCCATCAACAATGGTCTTTGGATAATCAGAAACAGCAGCACGCTTGGGAACAGGCCTTCGAGGGCGTTCGGAGTGCAAGATAGGCCCTGGCCCGGACGATACCGATCTGCGGGGGTTCGAATGCTGAGAGCCAGATCGCGGAGGCATTTGCGGCCGTGGAGGTGGTCCTGGCCCGTGCCCTAACATCATTGGGTACGGTGACGGGTAGTAGCCCGAGCCGTACCCAGGTGTCTGACCAAACATGGGCGCATTGACGCCAGGGTGTGGTGGAGGAGAGTGCACGTACGTGGGAAAGCCCGGGTACGACGGTTGCTGGTGCGGTTGTGGATAATAGTGCGGATATACCATGGGGTAAGTCATCGAATACGCTGGAGGTCTTCCATCAGTCGCCTGATCGCCACCCCGAAAAGACGGGGCGGGGTGCATCTGATAATACACCCCGGGGGACTGCATAGCGAATTGAGGCTGCATATGGTGGTACTGGTCGAATGGAACAACATTCGATTGATAGCCAGGCAATGCAGAGCTCATACCCTTCATGTTTAACGCAGACGACGGGTGAGCCGATAGAGATGGTCTATGATTTGCGGCCATGTGTGCATTCAATTGCGACGGACGATTGGCGACATTATCCGGTCGTGTATGTTCGTGGCAAGCGGTCGTGTCTATATTCGAGCGAATTATTTGGTCAGAGCAGTACAACGGAGATATGAGCTTGCTCTTTTTTCTGTTTTGTTTTTTCCTTTCGCGGAAATTTGTGCCAGATCTTCTCGCCCGAACCGACGAACACGAAGGGTGTCTTACCGCATTTCAACGACTCCCGGGAAGAAGGCCCTGTTGAAGATGGAGCTTCATTAAAAGGCTGACTGGAAGGATTATTATTGTCACCAGAGTCTGTCATGGTAAGAAAGATGAGAGTTAGGAACACACAAGACACGCATGAAAAATGCGCACAGAACACGCTCTCTGACCGGTCAAATTAGAGGGCGTTCCTGACAACAATCAACAACCAAAAAAAAAAAAAAAAAAAAAAAAAAGAAAGCACTCGCAACACAACAACAGCAAAATAATGGAAAGGGGAACGGTCAAGAACGTGAATATAGAAAATCAGGTATACATACCTTTTTTCCGGGTCCTGCCTCTTGCCTATGTTTGTTCTTACGCCTTGTGCGTAAAGCACCAATTTGGCGGTGCCGACTTGACTTGACTGCTTGCCTTTCTATCTCGTGCAATGCAGTTAGAATAAAACAACGCAACCATGAACATTGCTGTGACAATAGACTCGGGGGAGCGTGAGATGTGCAGGAAATGAGCAAGGGAAAAAAGAGGGATGTGTGGGACAGGGGAAAGAAGGTGAGATAATAGTGTCGGACGCCGGAGTGTCTGCGTGCGTCTTATCCTTGGTCACTATTTTTCCGCCGGCAAGTAAATTGGACCCAACTGGACCGATGGAGAATCGATACGACATGAGTTTTACAATACAGATGCCTCTTCCCTTTTCATTCCCGTAACGTATGGGGGTAACGTATGGGGGTAACGTATGGGGATAACGTATGAGGATAACGTATGAGGAAGATAAAGAAAGAGGCCAAGTGAAGGGATGGCTGGAGACCAAGAGTGGAACACCGACGTATATTTGATATATCACCATCGAAGACCAAGCGGTGACAGCTTGGATGCACGATAGAGAACAGATGGGTGATAATGGAGAAATAGTGGTCCAAGCAGGAGACACAAGCCACAGCTAACAAACAGGAACAAGGTAAACCCAACTCACCGGATGTGATATGCGTCTGGTTCTTGCTCTGGGCTATTGCCGGGAATGTGAACCCGTTCCGATTCGGCAAGGAAGGTGGTGGATTCAGGATGGTAAGAGAACAAGGAACGATGTACGGAGTTTTAAAAGGAAAAAGGAGAAAGAAGAGCAATCTATAAAGCTGATTGAGTAAATAGAAATAAGTAAGAGATATGATCATAAGGGTATCATAGGAAAGTCATAGCATGGTGTTTGTCCATACAGACATGACGAAGGAGAAGAGAGAGAAAGAAGGAAAGAGAAATTAGCCGAGGACAAATAAGTAACAATTACAAAAACAGAAGAGAATGATCTCCACGGATAATCGAGCAATGCTGTGGATACGTGGGTACAGAGTACGGAGGAGTAGTATACAGAGTACAGAGTGCAAAAGAGGAGAGAATAATGGGGATGTTCGGGATTATATGCTGGAGATAACGTACTCAGAGGGACAGGATGTGATTCGTCCGTGGCATTGTTTGTCCCTGACCCATTCCACGGATACCGTGCCCATTGGAAGGACCAGAGCATTGTCTACACGTATATACTACTAGTACTATGGGGGAGAACATGCACTATGTCTTCAATGGATGCAGATAACCAAGGTGGCAAGATTGATTTACTATATGGCCTCCAATAACTGGACTCAGTTGCATCTACATCATCTCATGTGCTCTCTCCCCCTACGCTTATGGGGACTGACAGTGGCAAATGGTGGCGCACTGCCTTCCTGAATAGGAAAGAACGAGGTGGATGAAGTGCATTCCCACTAGGGCCCGATGTCTCCATCCAAAGCACCAATGAGATTCATCTACTCGGCTGCTGTGCGTTGATCCTGCCGACACCCAAATTGAAATAAAAATACAGTGAGTCTTCGTGGTACATGAACCCTCTAGACAGAGGGAAACCCCCTGCTAAGAATAATGTCGACATACATGTACAGCAGTGGTAGAATATCCTAACTTGGAGTCGGTGCAGACAAGTCTAAGCGGGAATCTTATCCGACCGAGTCACAGTGCGGAGTGCTTTGCGCATTCTGTACTCCAAAGTAATACACAATAATTAACATCCAATCCGATTTCCCCATCATCCACATATCAAATTGCAAATATCCCCGTCTCCATAATTCTCTGAAGCTCTTCTCCATAACCGCAAACCTACCGCTCTATAGGCGGCATGAGATACCAGCCAATCAGCATTGTTCCTGGCCGACTTCATCTCAGTCATCATGCCATGCAGTGTAGTACTTGTACTTGTACTATGTACTTATGGAACCTCTACTTAGCTTATATTAGAGTGGTAGTATTATATTGGAGAATTTCAATCTCAATTGAACCTATCCCCCTATTGTGCGAAAGAATAGTAATAGTGTATAGGTACAGAGTAGTTACTCTAGCTATGTTCCACGCACTCCACTACAG